TTATTGTGGGTTCAGATCACTGTTCGCCCTGATCATGTTTCTAGGTTTGTCAGCACCATACCTGTGCTCGTGGGTTTGACTGAAGTGGAAAATGTCTGAGAATTTGGGCCTCCCACATTAAGCTGACACGCCGTGATATAACTGGAATACTGTTAAAAGCGGCGTTAAACCCAGCTCACTCACTCACTCTGAACACTAAGATTTCTTTGTGCAACAGGGCCCTGGGTGCCATTGTACAAAGCAATCTTAGCGCTAAGGTGATCGTAACTCCATACCTTAACATAGACTTACGACAATCGAAGCGCTAAGGTTGTTTTGTACAAAGGCGCCATGTTCTGTAAACCAATCTTACCACTGTGACTATGGTCTATGTTAAAGTACAGCAGTTACGACATTCACAGTGCTGATGGCTTGATGCAGTCCAACTGTTAACATGTTGAATAGTGGGTACCTGGACAGGATGAGTGATGAATATCAATGAATGAGCACCTTGTATACTAACCTCATAATGAATCTCAATTATACTCAAAAGTAAATGATCTCAAATTTCCTTGATCCATGTCACTTTAACAAAACTTGTTCATATGTGAATTTACTGATATTCAAGAAATCATTTAGTCAGTTCCCATCATCTGCTAATCATGTCATTAAATACTATTTACCGTGTACTGATCTTAATCTAATGCCAGACTATTTCAGCAACTGAAATGTGCTATTACGTACTTGTTATGAGTTGTTGATCTATCCTTCTCGTCTTTATTTTGTAAGAGGACATTGACTAGATTTGGAAGATGTTTATTCTAGTGGGTATTTACTCCCTTCTCTAGCAGCCTGGCTGTGTTTGTGGTCGGATGTATATTTGTGATGTAAATATGGCTTATGCGATCTATATGTAGTACATGAGGGATCACACCATCAGTGGTTAATAAACTCAGAAAAATGATTCCGACTTTGTTGTATATTATACCTGTTCCATCCACAGCAAAATATACCGTACTGGACCACACAGGAGACATACGCGTTAACGAGACCCGTGTTGTTGATTAATGCTGCACTCCGTAATATTCGAGCTTGACATCAACCTGTAAATAACCAAGTCCAAACCAGAAGATCCAGTGATTGATATTATGATCGAGGGTCCTTTTGGGTATAATGACACGCCATCAACCAAGTCTTGGAATCTGACCACCTTGACAATACGGGGTAGAAAAGGTCTTCAGCAACCCATGCTTTCCATAAGAGGCGACTATGCTTGTCATAAGAGGCGACTAACAGGATTGGTTGGTCAGGCTCGCTGACTTGGTTGATGCACGTCATCGTATCCCAATTGCGTAGATCGATGCTCATGATGTTAATCACTGGATTGTTTGGCCCAGACGCAATTATTTACAGACCACCGTCATATAGCTGAATGCGGTGTTAAACAATCAAACAAACCTGATCCATTAGTTCACCTCATAAAACCAGCATATATTGCAGAGGCCCTATTGTAATGGAATTCTCACAGAACACCTATTGTCTGACCCCAGTGAATATGAATGATTGGCAGGGTTCAAGTTATTATCTCGTGGTCACCTGTATCATGCATTTGGCTGCCAGCTGTGAATATTTCATTTCACAAATGCATCTTCAACAAGTGTCTACAGCAATATACCAGTCAAAAGGAGTTAAAGAAAACCAGATTCTTTCATATTACTTGTGTTAATCTGTCATGCCATAGGTCCCGTCATGCCGTGATATGACTGGAATACTGTTAAAAGTGGCGTTAAAACCCAACTCACTCACTTAAATACTAGCATCTGATTGGTTAAGAAACAGGCAATTATTTTCCATGTAGCCCACTGAGAAATCAATCGGAAAACACCTAAGGTACCTTGCTTAGTGCGAATGCAATTATTAATTCGGGACTGGCTGTCCTGTTGAAAAGCACACCAGCAATTCAAGGGCTGCAAAAACAATATGTTCAATCCTGGTTCGGCCATCGAAAGGATTCAGTTGACTAAAAAAGAAATCAAACAAAATGAAACTCATCACTTTTATTTGAGTTGTGAGTTCATCCTCAACAACCCAAGATGCAGGTTGGATTTGTCTTCCCACAGTTAGTTATTCTGACACGGACAAGTACATTTACTTCATTTCAAAGTTACAAACACGGCTGTCACAGACATATGGATGATGATGAAGATGAATCACTGTAGGCTTATCAGTCAAGTCTGGTAGTGTTTGCTGATGACAGGAATATTATACAAGATGCACTTGGCTGTGTAGCTAGAGTGCATCACTAGAGAGTTGATTTGATGAGAATATTTTCCTTCTCAAACTATGGAAATGCATAGACACTGACAGAATAAGGATATTTACAAATTAAGTACTACTTGGTTGATATCTAGAAGTTGTAGCCATTTGAAGTTCAAGCAATCGGGTTACACTGACCTCGGTCTATCTTTCATAATGCATTAGCATATAGTTTGATGCAGTAAGGTGAACATTTTAGGTATTACAGCTATTTATGTCATCCAATCAGCTGTCAGATCACCTCCCCACAGTACATTACTATTTAAATGACTCATGTGTTAAGGTCATACTAAAACTATTTGCTAATTCTGAATCCAATAATCAAAATCAAAGATGGCCAACTGGCAGCCATATTGACTTTTTAACTTGGATGGCTGTAACAAACTCGAATCCTATAATGATCCAAGTCAGAATAGGAAGGTGCATTTTGTGATTTGGCAGTTGAAATTCAGTAATCGTAGAATTTTGTTGAAAATATATCAAATAAACCATTGTTGTTATATGTTTACTTTTAGTATACCCAATCACCTAAAATGTCCGAAGTTATAAAGGCTTTGTATATCCAAAAGCTTGTACATCTGTATGCAGATCCAGCTGTGGGGAACAGGGGTGAACCCCACTCTGAACCTGCACATGTGATCAGAAACACCTACGGCAAATTTCAACTCAATCCAATCAAGCAACTGTGGCGTTACTGGTACTACGAGTTCAAAGATACCAACAGTGAGGGCTTCCAGTCCCATAAGCTCAAATAGCTCTTCTGTTCAGTCGAGCTAAACACAATATCATTTACTTGATGACTTCATACAAACAAATCCAGTGCAAGAAATGTGCATTATTAATCCCCACTAATCCTCCATTTTTATTAAAAGTATATGTATCAATAGCTCCAATCTTATCACAGAAACCATAGGGCCTCCTGTTATCAACATAAGTCAAGCTGCAGAAACATCCTTGACTATCCAGGGTATCCTATCTCTTAGGCCAAGAGCATAAGGTATAACCTGGGAAAAAATAGTAGAAAGCCGAATTTTTCTGGAGACCTTCAGAGGGTCATACTGATGACCCTGGCATAAAGTTCCCCCTGGTGGCATTTTCAAAATGGCCACCATTTCCAAGATGGCCACCAATATTTTTTAAAATATTAAATTTTATAGTGTTACATTCAGGATATCATGCAATATATCAAATGAAAGCTCTTTTTAAAGGCTTTCACATACTACTTGATGCAACCTTTTGCTATAATTAGGATTGGTTTTATGAGCATTTGAAGCATTATTTAACAAGTTTTTAACAGACATGCATACATCGTTAAAATTGAAACCCACCACATGTGTTTGTTAATTTTAACCACAAACCATACTATGAGATTTACCTCCCAAATGGTATTATGTTTGCTCCTGTAACCCGACACGCTGTCCAAAAGTGCTAATATCTCACTCATTTTTTCAGGTTGTTATCTTTTGTCTAATGCTCTTGGCCTATCTACTGTATAACGATAAATATCTTGCACCCATCGTTACCATACCTTCATTTCAAGCCTGATTCAAATGGATTGACACTAAAAATAGCCATCCAATCAAATAACTCTCATCAGCAAGACAAGTAATGTGCTAAGATAGTGATAGGATAGATGAAGATAGTGACATCACTTCTGAAATAAAGTGATGGTGATTAATGGGTCCAGGATGTTTATTGCAATAGAATGGACATATAATACCCTGGATAATCGAGGCTGAGACTGAAGCCCCTAATTAGTACTGTGATGCCCTGAGCAGTGTTCCTGTGTATAATGGGACTCATGGATCAAAGTACTTTCAATACTTAGAGTGAGTGAGTTGGGTTTAACGCCGCTTTTAATAGTACTCCAGTTATATCACGGCGTGTCAGCTTAATGTGGGAGGAAAGCCCGAAGTGATGCAGGTCTAAGACGTTTACCACTTCGGTGAAACCCATGAGCACGGGTATGGTGCTGACAAACCTAGAAATATAATTGGGGCGAACCGGGATTCGAACCCACAATCATAGGTTTCTGGCGTGCCCAAGGGATGCAACTCTGCACCGCGAATCGCAGCGCCCTAGACGGCTGGGCCAACCGTGCCCCCTTCAATACTTAGAAGAGAAAACATTACCAGTATCATATTTATTTGTCAGCATGATTTACACCATCCCAAATCAAGGACCTGTGCCCTGAGTGTGCAAATGAGTATGGTTTTATGCCTTTCTTAGTAATATCATGGAGGGGAACACCAGAAAGTGGCTTCACACATTTAACTTACGTTGGAACCGAACCCAGGTAGGTCGTGACCAGCAAACACCTGAACCACGAGGCTACCCCACGGGCCCCGTGTGTCCTGAATGTGATTGACAAGGCACATAATCCCTGCTTGGGAGATATGAACTTCCCTGGTCCTTGCCCTTGATAATCACCCTTCGTATTCGACACAATAATGGATAAGCCCCTTCGCAACTCATATCCGTAACTGTTATTATCAGAAATACTTGATCAATTGCCATGGTATGTTTGTCTGTTGTTCAACACCGCACTCAATGATATTCCAGCTGTATGGCTGCAGTCTAAAACAAATCAAGCCTCGACCAGAAAATCCAGTGATTGACATCATGAGCATCGATGACCTGCAATCAACCAAGTCACAGAGCCTGACCACCCGATCCTTTCAGTCTCCTTTTATGACAAGCCTAGGTTGCTGGGGACCTAGACTCTTACATGTAACCTCCACTGGGCTGGGTGCCGTTGTACAAAACAACCTTAGCGCTAAGGTTACCTTATATCCTTCAGTTTTAACTTTAGGCCTTTACTAAGGTTGACCCCCTGTTGCATGAAACTACCTTACGCTAAGATGAAAATTTTAAGGTTGGTCAGACCCAACCTTAGCCACGCTAAGGTTGATACTTCATTGAATTTCAACATGGCTACTTTCTTGTTGATGTGTGAGGAATGATAGATACACAAATTTGATCTCATTTACAAAGTAACGATGCTGCATCAGCTAGGTTGAATGTATGGTAAAACTTACTTTGCGGCTATTGCATCCCACTCCCTCATTTTGGATTGATTGGTGATTGTTGAAGAAAATGCGCCGAATAAAACATGGCTGCGACACTTGACTCCATCGGCCAAGAGTGTCAGCTCACTTGATGTAAAGTTTGATTGCCGACACCGTTTCTGTGCACTGGTAGACGGCTGTGTCATGTTGAAGTAGCAATATTAGTCGTCTGCAGATGCGAGCAGGGGAGATAACTCTCAACCGTAACTACGGACATAATTGAGTCTCCCACACTAAAGAGTTCAACCTTAGTTAAGGTTGCCGCTAAGTATCCTGTCCACGTTAAGGTTGTCCAAAGGTAGTTTTGTGCAACGGGCGTAACTTTTTGATAAGGTTACCTTAAGATTAACCTTAGTAACTAAGTTCAACCTTAGTAAAGGTTGTTTTGTACAACGGCACCCTGGTACATAAAAATAGCGAATACGTACATGCTACCCGTACTACTGCTGATAACTACATTCTATGAGATGATATCCAATTTCAGTCAACTCGAACAAAACACATATACTGAAACACCCTTGAAAACGCACAAACAACTTTACCTCAATTTTAGCAATAAATATTTTACTTGCATGACAAAATATGATGAAAGTGTGACAAAATAACATTGTTAAAAAAAAATACTTGGTAAAAAGACTTGGTTCTCAGGCACCGCCCGCATCATTATAAAGTTTGCCGCACGTTTCGGTTTTATTTCAATTTTTTTTTTTAAATATATAAAAAAAATCCTTAAATATTCCAAGTCCAACTTTTATTCCAGTATTTTACTCATCAATGAATGCATTTATGTAGGGAGGCCCTTTCCCTTTCAAATATTACAAAACTTTGAAAATGCATTTTCAAAGTGTTTCAGTATATAACTAACCTTTACACAGAGGATCACAATACCTCAAATGAATTAAAAAACACATACATTGGACCAGATAAGTTTATCTCAGCAGAGTGCTTGAAGTTTTCGTAGTTCCTGCACACATGGACATATGAACATGAACAGAACAGAGACGAACCCTAACATCCACCACAAAAAAACAAGTTCCCTGGAAACCCTTTTCATGGACATGTATTATGCTTGTTAGGTGAGCTACACATTCACTAACACAACACATCAGTATATTAGGGACAGAATATCCATTGCCACATGAACAAGAATAAAGGCTCGCATTACATTCTTAAACAATTTCAACATAACATTTTCAAGCACACTTTGTAAATGATTTCATCATTGTTTTTATAATCGAAATATTTGAAACTATACTACATACTTGTATTTAACTACCAGTAATATTTCAACTTTAAACCATTTAATTTTGAAATTTAATCAAAACAGCATATTTGTTTTTTAATTCAACTTTTAAAGTTCACGAAAACAAAATAACGAGATGATTATTGCGAAACCCATGTTTTGTAGACATGTGTATTTCGGATATGTAATACAAAGTTCACTAGTTTGATTGTTTCGGTATCGTATTGTTAGTGAAAGCCTCAGATGTCTTGTGCTTGGCTTTTGTAGCCAAAGGAGGATCTAAATGGGTATCGATAGTGTACGGCAATGCACTCATGTTTACAAGTAGCATCAAGCGTTGACAGTATACACTGGTACACTCAGGGATTGTCCAAAACATTTATGAGACTGTACATCCACAGCAGACACAAGACAACATCGGTATCTAGCGGACACTGTCGTCATGTCTTCTTCCCCTTCGCTGCCTCTTGTGCCGCTTTCTTGGCTTTAACGATTTCACATAATTCCTGAAAAAAAAGAAAAAAAGTCACATTCCATTGAAGGGTGAGTGAAACATGTTATATTTGTTATAACACTTTCTTAGTAAAGTACGGGATTCGAACCCACACTTGCCAGTGAGGCACCTAATCGCCATGAAGTAGTTTTCAAGTTGCAGCTCGCACAAATGTTGAAGTCAAAAACAGTATAAGTTCAAAAGATGAAAAACTTCATATTTACTCACAAAATCCAAATAATAAAATCAAACATTTGATTGATTGATTGATTGATTGATTGATTGATTGAGAGAGAGAGAGAGAGAGAGAGAGAGAGAGAGAGAGAGAGAGAGAGAGAGAGAGAGAGAGAGAGAGAGAGAGAGAGAGAGAGAGAGAGAGAGAGAGAGAGAGAGAGAGAGAGAGAGAGAGAGAGAGAGAGAGAGAGAGAGAGAGGGGGGAAATTGAAGCCAAAACAAGGTAGATATTTTCCCTGGTCAATGGCTTCTTGTAGTTTTCTTGTCGCCAGTTGTTCTTGTTGTTGGTAGACAGGACTTTGGTGGCTTCCCACATGATGTTATGGTTTTTGTTCTACAGGATGTGTTCGGAAATAGCGGATTTCAGGTCGAGTTTGTTAACAGAGGCCCCTAACTATGCAGCGTTAGCGTTTATAAATACCCACTCTAAGTGCATCCTGACAGCTATGGGAGTACATGTTTGTTTGTTGTTTAATGCGACACTCTAATGTTGAAACCAAACCAGTAGGACATCTGTTATTACCTTGTATCTCTTCATGCAGTCCTTCTTGCTTCGTACAGGTAGACACTCGGCAATCCTCTCCCATCTGTCGGGCGTACTGGCGTTGAATGTCTTGAGGGCTTGCTCCAACAGCTTCTGCTCATCCGAGGTCCAGGGGGCAGGGTTGGCGCCGGTCTCCCGGATCTGCTGCTCGGCAATACCTGGGTGGAGAAGACAGATGATGGCATGAGTGAATTGTGTTTAATGCTGCTCTCAGCAATATTCCAACCACATCTTGGAGGAACACTAAGAGTGGCACATGTATTTATACCAGCATCGGAAGTGAAACCCAGGTTAGTGTGAACACTTTAACAATTAGTACAACTTTGAGTTCAAGATAGTTGCACTAATATAGGGTCACACACTTTTAACTTGCTTTACGGATCCACCAACCCAAAATTGTTGCAATGAAAAAAAATTAATTAAGAGAACTCTGTTGCAGGTTCTCCTCCCATTTTTTTAATTTTTTTATACCAGGTGACTTGTAGTGAAGCAGAAAACTAAAAACAATTGAATTGCTCCCCCCCACCCCCCAAACCGACGCTCATGAACACATCACATGTGACGTGATAGATCCAAGACTCGAGATGCACCATTTGATTCAATTATCGTGTAAAGTTTGGAAATCACATGCAGCATATCATGAGTGAGTGAGTATGGTTTTACGCCGCTTTTAGCAATATTCCAGCAATATCACGGCAGGGGACACCAGAAATGGGCTTCACACATTGTACCCATGTCGGGAATCGAACCCGGGTCTTCGGCGTGACGAGCAAATGCTTTAACCACTAGGCTACCCGACCGCCCCTCGCAGCATATCATGAATAAAGACACTCTGAGGTAACATTTAACTGATTGTTAGTTTTGTCATTACTTGGTACACATTGGAAACATCTCTTCTTAAAGTACATACTTTTCTATATGTTTCCATGGTTCGCATTTCTTTTGGCGGTGAGTATATTATGGCGAAGAAATGAGTTTCAGACGATGTAATGGCTGAAATAGTGCCAATGTGACGTTAAATCTTAACTCACTCACTCACTCAGACATTGTAAGCAGGTGGGAATCAAACCCAGGCCTTCAGTAAGACAGGTGAATGCCTCATCCACTAGGCTACTCTAGCAGCCTGCTGCTGTATAAATACATGGGGACTTACTCTCCATCCTCTCACTGGGGTTATCCTGCACTCCAGCTGGGGCGGCCTTGTGGTCGTGAAGGAACTTCTCATACGCCTTCTTCTGGGCTTCCTCCTTCAAGAAGGAGTCTGGAAAAAACGAACCACTTGAACCACACACAACCAAATATTATTCTTTGTCATCATTTCATACCATCTGACCAGTGTTAAAACAGCCGAAGATCAAATATTTCTTTGCAGAATATTAATAAAAAGTTACTTGTTTTGAAACGTTTGTTTGTGTGTTGTTTAATGGTGTACTCAGCAATATTCCAGCTATATGATGGATTTCTGTATAGTCTGGCCAAGACAACCCAGTGATTGACATCATGAGCATCAATCCACACAATTTGGATCGATGACATGCATCAACCAAGTCGGCGATCCTGACCACCTTATCCCGTTAGTCGCCTTTTACAACAAGCACTGTCGCCTTTTACGGCCAGTATGGGTTGCTGAAGACCTACTTTACCCCGGATCTTCACGGGTCTGTCTTGAAATGATGGGTCAGGAGTGTGTAGGATCCACTGTGTAGGCTGTGGGTCACCTCTAGCCATATCAATTTAAATGCCAAAATCAAATAACATGTAAATTATTAACATGATTAAAAAAAATTCAGCTTCTTTAAAAAAAATATGTGCGTGCGTGCGTGAATTGAAACAGAAATAAGGTTGGACAGGTACCAAAAACAACTGAAAGCCTAATAATATTGATAAAGTTTTGTTTGTTTGTTAACCGCTGTACTTGGAAATTTTCCAGCTATATAACAGTGACCAGTAAATAATCCAAGTCTGGAGCAGACAAAGCAGTGATTGACCTTATGAGCAGCATCCTCTATCGTCGTTGTACGAAGACACATAATCAACCAAACCACAGAGCCTGACCACCTGATCCATTTTGTTGCCTCGTTCAACAAGCATAGGTTGCTGGGGACCTATTCCATAGGGTTAAGGAGGATGTTAATATCACTGTTTCATGTGTGCATGTTGTAATATTCAGTGCATCTGTGCATATTTAAGCAAACACTCTTGTACCCTGCCTAACTAGTACAACCTGGGGAGGAATGGGCAAAGTTGCATCACCAATTCAACTTTCAGGGTGGCCACTTGTCCACTAGTAGGATGAAACACTGAAGAGTTATCTACCTTGTCATGGGTACAATGTGAGGTGAAATTGGGTTTAACGTCGCGTCCAAGATTATTGCACTTATATAGCAACATGTATGCACGTGTGTGTGGCTGCTTGTGCTAGTCCAGACTGAAGCCAATTTATAGTGATATCTCACTGAGATACTATGCCACAGTTTAACATGAATACCCCACTCAGACACAGTATACTGACTCCGAGCCGACAGTCCTTGTTTTAGCCCCATAATGCTGAGCGCCAGACAGGGTAACAAGTACCATCTTTAGGTATGATGCGCCCGGGGATTGACCCCCAGACCTTCCGCTCTCCAGGTGGACGCTCTACCACTAGACAACAGAGGCGATCGTGGGTACAAAGCAAAAGCATGTGGATTAGAACTGAAGGCATGGGTGTCCTGCAACTTACCATTTTTCTGTAAATCCTTGGCCTTGCCCAGTACATCCTTGGCATTCTTATTGCTACCAGACACATGCTGCCCTATAAACTTGGCTATCACCTCCCACCTGTAACAATCAGGAAGACTCACATCTTTGTTGTGACAACTTAATGAAACATTCCTGTCCCTGAGAGCATTGTGAGAACATATTAACGTAAGAACAAACTTCAAGCTGTATCTTTACTTTACAAAATATCAGAGGCACTTCTCGTGCCCGGTTAGAATAACAGTATATTACACATGTGTACAGAATGATGGGGAGATCCAAGCAGACATCAGTCATAGTCATGGGAGTATTATCTTCCCGAGGCAAGAGAGTTAACGGACTACAAAAGTCCAGTTTCCACCCTTGTCGGTATTATGGAGTTACATTTTGGCTGGACTAACAAGTCTATGCATAGTCCAATCAAAATCGGGCACCGAAATCGAAATCCGGTTAGTAATCTGTCGTGCAGATTTAGGTTGATTGTTGGATTTGCAAAGCATGTGCACCGCCAACTCGTCAACAGATATTTTCCAAATCTTTTCACGTTTTTAATCAAGGTGCTCATGTGATTTGATGCACTTTGCGAGGTAAGGTCATGTTATCACAATACAGATCTTGATTATCAATCAGATCGTCTTGACTCGGCGCCGCCATTTTGTGTGAAACAAATGCAAGTGATACGAGAGGTGGAATCTGATTGGTCTATAGGAGAGGCTTATAAGGGACATAACTCGTAATAACCACTGGTGGCACTACGATTGAGCCCAGGAATTCCAGCCTAGTTCGGCAAGGGTGGAAACTGGACTTTTACAGTCAGTTAAGTCCCTTGCCTCGGGAAGATGTGGGAGTATAGACATGACAGAACAAACCATCAGCATCTCCTGCACTTCGACAAAGTACATTTACAACAGTGAGTGAGTGAGTGAGTTGGGTTTAGCGCCGCTTTTAACAGTATTCCAGTTATATCGCGGCGTGTCAGCTTAATGTGGGAGGAAAGCCCAAAGTGATGCAGGTGTCAGACGTTTACCACTTCGGTGAAACCCACGAGCACAGGTATGGTGCTGACAAACCTAGAAACATAATCGGGGTGAACCGGGATTCGAACCCACAAACATAGGTTTCTGGCGTACCCAAGGGACGCAACTCTGCACATCGAATCGCGGCGCCTTAGACGACTGGGCCACCCGTGCCTCTGAGTGAGTGAGTGAGTGAGTGAGTGAGTGAGTGAGTGAGTGAGTGAGTGAGTGGGTGGGTGGGTGGGTGAGTGAGTGAGTGAGTATTTACACTGCTTTTAGCAATATTCCAGCTATATCACGGCATGGGACACCAAAAATGGGCTTCACACATTGTACCCATGTCGGGAATCGAACCCAGGGAATCGAACACTTTAACCACTCGGCTTCCTGACCGCCCACATTTACAACTGACAAACACGTCTCCCTGAATGATTTGAAATACCAGATTCTCCAGCAAGTTACTACCAACCTGTCTTTAGTTCCTGCTGGGAAGAGATTGACCGCCTTGATAAGGAAAGACAACTCTTCCTCTGTCCAGGTCTTCTTGCCCTTGTTACTGTCGCTCCCACTGCTCTTAGACATGGCCTCGATCTGTTCACGTTTCTCACGCTCGATGCCATCATTCACATCTTTTACCTGAACAATTAGTCCATATATGCAGTTATCTAAATATTATTTCTTTGATACACAGAAACTTAAAAGCGTTCCAAGTCACACTCATCGTTGTAATCAGACAATAAAGTTATTACTACAACTGATGAGGAAGGTGACTTCTGTGCCACAGTGTGCAAACTTTCAGCTCTATCAAGGCAACACGCAGTGGATGTGATTAGGGCGAAAGCAGGTAAGCCATGGCTCATACCATCTATCCTCATCCATGATACTGATGTATAGAAAGATAGCGGCAGTCACTGACACATATTCTCAAGAAGCCTCTGCTTTGTTTGTTAATGCCACACTCTGACCGCAGCCTGTATATAACGGAGTCTGGAGCAGACAATCTAGTGATTGACATATGAGCAAGGATCCATGCCATCTGGGTACAAGTCACGTAAATAATCAAGCCACCAAGACTCTTTCTCCTCTGTATCATTTCTGAAGTCTGTGCATGAGTGTGTGAGTATGGTTTTACGCCACTTTTAGCAATATTCCAGCAATATCACAGTGGGGGACATCAGAAATGGGCTTCACACATTTTACCCATGTGGGGAATCGAACCCGCGTCATCGATGTAACGAGCAAACACTTTAACCACTAAGCTACCCGCCGCCCCTCTGAAGTCTGTGAGTATTAGTATTATTCCAACCAATTGACACTGAAATGGGCTTCACACTTTGTACCCATGTGGGGCAGCAAACAGGGGTCTTCTTTGGACAATAAGATGCTTAAACCTCTAGACCACTGCACTGCGCCTTTGTCTCTGTAAGACAGACACAGACAGACAGACACAGACACAGACACACAGACACACACACAAAGGGTATTCATCCAGAGACACAGACACAGGCAGACACACAGACACAGACACACACACACAAAGGGTATTCATCCAGAGACACAGACAGACAGACAGACACACAGACACACAGACACACACACACACACACACACACACACACACACACACACACACAAAGGGTATTCATCCAGAGACACATATTCTGTTGTTTGTGCTGTTTATGTTACTTACATTTTTCAGAAAAGCATCTTTTGCTTTCTCCTTGTCCCCACAGTTAAGAGATTCATTCAGGGCTTGTAACCTACAGGTAAGACAAGAATCACTTGTAGGGGTGACACGATACAGCAAGGTCACAATACGATACGATATCAAATCGCGTGGAAACTTCTTGACTTTCAGTATTTCGGAGTAGGTTCAAAAGAGAAAGCTAGCCGTAGACATGTATTCATTGCGTCTATTTTTAGCAGTGAACTTGAAAAGCTCAGTACAATACATTTTGCGATATTTAACTGACAAAGTCGCTGAGGGGCTCAGGAGTAGTAATTTATTTTAGCAAGTATCTCATCTTGTATCGATACAGTAAACAACGTGTAGTGTATCGTATCGTCGCATGAAAGCACTGATGTATCGATTCACCCCTAATCATTTGCATAAGGAGGACACATACGGATGTAAGGTAAGGATAGACTCTGAAACAGCACACCTCTGTAACATGGATAGAAATCATAGAACGTCAACGTCTCAAACACTATGTGGCCCCTAATCATTTGCATAAGGAGGGCACATACAGATGTATGGTAAGAATAGACTCCGAAACAGCACACCTCTGTAACATGGATAGAAATCGTCAACGTCAACGTCTCAACCACTATGTGGCCAAGTGAATGGAAACAAATGGCCAGCTGATAAATTAACCTCTGAAGGGAATTAGTTTAAACATCAGGCAACTTTGATGTAGGTGCATCGCATCTTTTCTTGGTTGTTGTCTTATGGGTACAAACGTATGTGAGTTCCTGTCTTTAATAATTACAGGAATCCTTGAAACGGACATTTTTTAAGCCACATATAGGACAATCGAGAAAGATTTATGCTACTGACAAGCTCATCATCCAAGCAGCGTTAGAAATTGGCACTAGTCCTATAGTCCTTACCAAACTGCCCAATAGTAAAGGTATCCTAAGGACTAGTAGAAATTCGCCCATTTTAAGGGTTTTGCTTTATGTTATCATTATAAGGACTAGTGGACAAAAACTGTTAGTTTCTAACGCTGCCAAGGGGTCCAGTTAGTTTTTGTTTGTTATTTAACTCCACATCCAGGACTATTCATCCTTTTGCATGTAGAATGAAAATAATCTGGACCAGACAAACCAGTGATTAATATTCTGAGCAAACATCCATGTCGGCGTGGTACATTGACAGGCTATCAACCCAGCCACCGAGTTTTACAACATCACCCATTAAGTTGCATCATAAGGCAAGTACAGCCAAGTACCCACGCAGAATCACCATCCAGCCATGTAGACCACCCGAAACCCACATTTCTGAGGGTTAGCCCAACCCTGAACTCCCCACACAGTGTATCATGCAAGACCCACTTACATTGTGAGTGACAATATTTCAGATAGCTTGTCAACCTCCGTCATGTAGTCCAACCTTTCTTTCTCATCACTGGCAAAATACTCGTAGTCCTGCAACGATGGAATATAGCACTGTTCATTAAACATGTATTTGCCACGTAGGAATAGTATTACATGTGTATTACCACACGCTACAAGTCATTTCTTTGAAAAGATATTTTGATCTGACCTCATCTGTGAGGAAAAATTCATGGAGTAATTAAAAATAAACCTTGTCGCCACACTGAAACATCAACTAGGTCTGAAACTTATGGCTTTTTCTCAATTGGATAGTTCATTAACAAAAATAATATGAAACAAGAGTAAAAAAATCATGATCAGGTATAAATAACAAGCTCCACTATTTCCAAAGGCATCTGACTTAGAGCAGATACATTTTGAGAGAGAATGCTGACAAAACTTGATCCTCATCTATAATCCCTTTTGTGTAATTGGTACAATGACACGTCTGGAGAAAGCACATGTCTGCTTAACAATATTATTGTGATGGCACCTGCATGAGGCACCAATCAGTGACGCAAATAAGTTCAAAATCGAAATCAGTCAATTGCTATCTGTGACCTTGAAAATAATGTCAATGTCACCAAATCTAGTTGAGTATGCCAAATCTCCTAAATGACCTCATATGAACATAATCAATGAAATAAATCTTGAGACACTTCACAAGCAAAACAGCAAGAAGGAATAACCTTTTCAAGACCTTAAAATACATGTTCAAGGTCAGAAGGTTAATCTAATATCTTTAAACAGTACACTGTTTATTGACACATCAGCAAAATTGGTCAAATATTTTTCCATTGACTTTGAAAATAAGGTCAAGGTCACAATTATCTACTTGTTGGGGCACACAATTTGAAGCAAATCCAGAGGTTCTGGAGACATCTTGCTAACAAATTTCAAACTGGTCAAAGTCTTGTCCTGGCAAAGCAGAGGTTCATAGGATGCGCATCAAGCAGTCACTAAAGGTTAAAAACTTTAAGGTTTACTTGACTGCCTCTGACTGACCTTTATCACAGTTCGCAGGGTCTTCCTCTCCTTCTTCAGCGCCTTCTTCTGAACTTCTCTCTCCTTCTTTGCTGCTGCAGCCTGCAACACAGAGGAACATGAGAGACATCACACTAACCAGACATTAGTGTCTCTGTTACTAAGTTACATCCAACACATGTAACCTTCACCATACTCAGCCCTTGGGCTGATATGAGATTCTTGGCTTGATATGGGGAATAATAGGAAAACTAACTTATAACCTCTTCATTATATATCATAACATCACATTTGCAAGTGAATGCAACACATTTTCACCTTGTTTGGAAGACATTCCCTTGGGAAAGCTAGCAGAGTAGTCGATGCACTAGTGAGTGAGTGAGTGAGTTGGGTTAAACGACGCTTTTAACAGTATTCCAGTCATATAACGGCGTGTCAGCTTAAAGGGGCACTGATCTAACGCAATTCCCCGGACTGGTTGTTGCCTTTGTTATTGTTTTTTCCCCCGTGAGTACCCGGATGACACGCAACGCAACTGAGCGTGACCAGAGACTTTGCTACCGTCTGCAAGGACAGCCAAATAAACTTGGAGGCTGGAGGCAATATTTGTTTTACGCATTTTTGCATAAACACTGATTGGTTAACTGTGATCTATAAAGATTTCGACAAAGGGCGTATGCTAATTAATTTCTTCAGGCTAAACAAACAGACAAAAAGAACGGCGGAGCTCATCGGATGTCGTCATTTGGAAATACTAAAAAAAGTATCCATGCAGTGAAAGCATTTTCGGATTCCGGCTTGCGTCGATAATACGATTACTACTCCACGTTTTCTCGTAAAACCCTACACTTGTGTATTTGTCGTCATTTACTTGATGCTCAGTTAATGAATTTATTACAGGTACAATTAGTGGTAGCACCACTTAGATTACCTGACAAAGGTTCCCATTTGGCATTTATTGTGTCTGGGGTAATTATTCAATCTAAATCCAGGTTTGAAGTGAGGTGAAATGTGTGTTATGTAATACGCACGTGGCAGCCCAGCAAGAGATGAATGATCAGTTGATTTACTTTTTTTTGTAAATCAACAGATAGTTCCTAGTCATCAAAGGATTAACAGAAAATACGTTGATTGATTAATCACTGTTATCTTGCACAGTAGATATGTCACAAGTGAGTGTTTACATGTGTAGGTTTACTAAAACAAAGGGAATACACTTATATCATGGCGTGAAGTGCCGATGTAAAAACAACATACTTTGTTCAAAGGGTTAACTGATAATACGTTGATTGATTGATCATTGTTATCTATCACTCAATAGATTTTTTAGGAACCGTGGACGTTGTCACGTGGGCCTTTGAGACTTGACATCTATGTAAAACACCCGAAACAATCCAAGTGATCAGTTGAGAAACGAACACGGGTTATAATATCCCGAAACGATATACATCTTTTAAAATATTTGATTGTTACAGAGACACGTGACATCGAATAAGTTTCTTTGTACAGCTGCAGACGAGTGGGATATTGTTCCTTTGTGTGGATATTCACGGATACATTCCTTGAACAAGGAAGCTGCCTAAAATTTATACACATAAATTTGGTAGGTTGTAATTATGATATATGCCTTTTGTTGCCTTCATTTGAACCGATTCGTTCTTGTTTCTCTACGTCTTGGTTGGGAAATTCTTCAATGCGCGATAGACGTTGTTTTCACAGGTCTTTTCCTTTGTAAGCGTGTATATATTACCGTCAATTTGTAAAATGTGATTCTCTCAGGCAATTTATAAAATGTGTAAATATGTCAGTCATTTTGACTTAAAAATCTGTCCGGATTGATTATGACGATCAAAAGGGCCTACAAACATCACAACAGATTATTATGTAGGATTAGAAGCCAAACAACATAGAAATGTACTAGTCTTGATTTCTGCTAAACATCCGGGTACTAACTGGGGAAAAACAATAACAAAGGCAACAACCAGTCCCGGGGAATTGCGTTAGATCAGTGCCCCTTTAATGTGGTAGGAAAGCCCTAAGTGATGCAGGTCTCAGATATTTACCATTTCAGTAAAACCACGAGCACGGGTATGGTGCTGACAAACCTAAAAACATAATTTGGGTGTAATATGGGTCTGGGTATCAACACCCCCTGTGATATGACTGTCTCATATGCAAAATGCGTCATATCATTGATAGGTATATGATAACGAATGTTATTTTACGTCACAGGCAGAAATATGCCTGATCAAGCGGAGCCAGAAGGAGAGAGTGGTACGAGAAACCAGTCGACGCAGTCGAGAGTGGAATGAAAATTCGAATGTGACACCACACGACAGCATGCCACAGTACTGGACGACAATGAAACACACATACATTTGGAACTATGCTATATGTGTATATGCCGAGGTTGGATGATTCCATTTAGATTAGAGGGGAGTAAGCAATGGTTCTGGGTTTTGCACTATTGTGTAAGGTACATCGTGTTCATAGCCCATGTGGTGTAAGTAGGTCAGTGCCTCCCTCAGCAGTGATCTGGAAGGGGTGTCTAATGCACGCTTTCTTCCGCTGCTGAAACAATACACCTTTAACGTACCTGTGCTTTAGCTTTATCCTCTTCTTCCTGTTTCTTCTTCCTCTCCTCTTCTTCTGCCTCTCTGCGAACCTGAGACAGATAAACCCCAGTCAAAATATTTAACCCCATGGAAAAATGTTTGCTTTTACTGAAGCTTCTGTTTGTTATTTAATGCCATGTTCAGCAATAGTCCAGCTATATGGCGATGTCCTGCAAATAAACTGGTACAGACAAACCAGTGGTTGACATTAAGAACAACTATAAGGGTATGATACAATCAACCTTGAGATCTAGCTTGACCGTCTGGTATGTTGCCTCTTACAAAAGTGAGTGAGCTGGGTTTAACGCCACTTTTAACAGTATTCCAGTTATATCATGGCGTGTCAGCTTAATGTGGGAGGAAAGCTCGAAGTGATGCAGGTTTCAGACGTTTACCACTTCGGTGAAACCCACGAGCATGGGTATGGTGCTGACAAACCTAGAAACATAATCGGGGCGAACCGGGATTCGAACCCACAATCATAGGTTTCTGGCGTTCCCAAATGACGCACCTCTGCACAGCGAATTGCGGCGCCTTAGACGACTGGGCCACCCGTGCCCCCACTAAGGTGAGTAACGCCAATTTCTTATATGCTGAACTATTGATATCATACATATTGATGCAATTAACAATGGCTACAGAAAACCCATTAGAACTGTATATGTTGATAATGCACTTGCAATCATTGACATCAAACCCACCTATTAAGTAACATTACGGTATGAAAATCCTGGGTTAGGTATGCATGGAGATAAGGAACTTATTCTGACCTGTAACCTCCAAGCCAAACTATTCTGGGGAGGGAGTGGGCAAGTGACAAAAGCGCCATGCTAGCAAGCGCCAGGTGCTGAGATCGTATCCCACTAGTGACCAGGTTGATATTCAACCTAGGGACCAACAATGTTTACAGGTCTTTACAGTGTTGTCACTACCCCTAGGGTACAGTACATACACCCTGTGCACTCATAGAACCCACCCAGATAGTGGAAACACGAATATGTACATTCACCAAAAACACAAGTGTCAAATCGTGTGGTGTCACCCTGGGCAAGTGACTTAGTTCAAATGTGCCTCTGTTCACCCAGCAGGGAATGGGTACCCGATATGTGAGGTGGATGTAAAAACCTTCTTGCACCTCTGGGCAGCCTGGGTTGTATACTCCCCAGGGAGCTGAGAATGATAACTGGAATGCAAATGGATCCACAGGTCGGGGAACAAATAAAACCGCATTTGAGCAGAAACTAGTACCTGGATACCTGTGGTATATAAATGTATACCGTATTCGACGTAATAAGCGCCCCGCTCTAATAAGCGCCCACGACGATATTTGCTAATATATTGGCAAGTGAACAATCCCAATTAGCACCCTTCTGATTGATCAATGTACACAAGACTTATTTATTTGTATATAATACACACTCGTGTGTTATATGCACCGTTAATTATGGGGAATTAAATTCTGTAAAAATATATCTGTCGTACATAAACATTTCAGGCTGTCAGCATAAACCACAAAATGTATCTTTCAACTCTGTTTTTTTTACCAAAATAATATTCTAATAAGAGCCCCCTATTTCTAATTTTGAAAGCGCCCAGGGCGCTTATTACGTCGAATACGGTAATATGATAACAATACTGATGAAGCCAGTTTAATCATCTTAGAAATACAAGTTAATTCCTGTCACAATATTTCACTTACTCTTTCTTCCTCCTCGGCCTTCAACCTGGCTGCTTCCTGCTTGGCCCGCTTGGCTGCCAGCTTCTTCTCCTTCTCCTCGTCCTTAAACTTCTGTATACGGGGATCACAGGCATAGCTGTTGTCTACAACATAGAGGGCTGTGGTCATATCTCTGCCTCACACAACTCTTGGATGGGCTAATACCTGTTAATTTCATACTTATCACTCCACCTTTATGAAGATTGTGTATGATGAAGTGAAGTACTGACGATGCAGTGAAGTATTGAAGATGTTTTCTGAAGTACTGACGATGCAGTGAAGTATTGAAGATGTTGTGAAGTACTGACAATGTTGTGAAGTACTGGCGATGTTGTGAAGTACTGATGATGTTGTGAAGTATTGACGATGTTGTGAAGTACTGACGATGTTGTGAAGTACTGACGATGTTGTGAAGTATTGACGATGTTGTGAAGTTTTGACGATGTTGTGAAGTACTGACGATGTTGTGAAGTATTGACGATGTTGAGAAGTACTGACGATGTTGTGAAGTATTGACGATGTTGTGCAGTACTGACGATGTTGTGAAGTATTGACGATGTTGAGAAGTACTGACGATGTTGTGAAGTATTGACGATGTTGTGAAGTACTGATGATGTGAAGTACTGATGATGTGAAGTACTGACAATGTTGTGAAGTACTGATGATGTTGTGAAGTATTGACGATGTTGTGAAGTACTGACGATGTTGTGAAGTACTGACGATGTTGTGAAGTATTGACGATGTTGTGAAGTTTTGACGATGTTGTGAAGTACTGACGATGTTGTGAAGTATTGACGATGTTGAGAAGTACTGACGATGTTGTGAAGTATTGACGATGTTGTGCAGTACTGACGATGTTGTGAAGTATTGACGATGTTGAGAAGTACTGACGATGTTGTGAAGTATTGACGATGTTGTGAAGTACTGATGATGTGAAGTACTGATGGTGTGAAGTACTGACAATGTTGTGAAGTACTGATGATGTTGTGAAGTATTGACAAAGTTGTGAAGTACTGACGATGTTGTGAAGTACTGACGATGTTGTAAAGTATTGACGATGTTGTAAAGTACTGACGATGTGAAGTATTGATGATGTTGTGAAGTACTGACGATGTTGTGAAGTATTGACGATGTTGTGAAGTACTGACGATGTTGTGAAGTATTGACGATGTTGTGAAGTACTGACGATGTTGTGAAGTACTGATGATGTTGTGAAGTACTGACAATGTTGTGAAGTACTGATGATGTTGTGAAGTACTGATGATGTTGTGAAGTAATGACGATGTTGTGAAGTACTGATGATGTTGTGAAGTACTGACAATGTTGTGAAGTACTGACAATGTAGTGAAGTACTGATGATGTTGTGAAGTACTGACGATGTTGTGAAGTACTGATGATGTGAAGTACTGACGATGTGAAGTACTGACGATGTTGTGAAGTACTGACGATGTTGTGAAGTACTGACAATGTTGTGAAGTATTGACGATGTGAATTATTGACAATGTTGTGAAGTACTGATGATGTTGTGAAGTACTGACGACGTTGTGAAGTACTGACGATGTTGTGAAGTACTGATGATGTGAAATACTGACATTGTTGTGAAGTACTAATAATGCAATGAAGTACTGATGATGCAGTGAAGTTTGTTTATTGTTTAACGCCGCACTCAGCAATATTCCAGCTATATGACCTCGATCTGTAAATAATGGACCAGATAATCCAGTGATTGACACCATGAGCATCAATCTTCGCGATTGGGATATCATGACATACATCAACCAAGTCAGCGAGTCTGAGCACCCAATCCCAATAGTCACCTCTTACAAAAAACAGATAAAAGAAACGATGTGAACACCAACCCAGTATACCCAAATGAATAGTTGACTCACCAACTAACGATCTTATCCTTGAAACTTCTTCCTTCTTTCGCTTCTGTCGAGCAGCCTTGTTCTGTTTTTCAATCCATCTTCTTTCATCCCGACTGTGACACAGAAATTAAAGTCATACCACTGAGTATTGTGCAATCATACTGCACCAAAAGTCTGCTGTGACAAAGTCAGAATAAATACCTCGGTACCTTAGCATTAGCAACTTTCCATATCATATTGGAAGCCATATAGTGTAACGTAAAGACTAAAAAAAACTATTTATTACCTACATGGGCAAACATATCGGGGTTCATAAAAATCATATGTGCCCTAGGGTCTTGTCATGTCACAAAAAAAACCAGTGTATTGTTTCCGTCATCGGGACGGCATTGTTGATGTCATTCGAATCTTTTTGTGACATAAGGTTGGAATGACGTCACCCTAGAAACGACATCATAGCTGAAGATTGTTTACATCATTCGACCAATTGTGGTTCCGCTGCTCTTGCAACTTGCTGTCCTTATAGGTAGGTAAAGACTAAATTCGTCTCTATACAGACATCTTCTTCGGTAATAAATAGGACATTATATTCGTGTTCATGTCCTACTATGTTTACGGCACTCATGCCTAAATCTAAATAGTATGACATGAACACTCATGTGAGGTGAAATGGGGTTTACTGTCGCGTCCAAGATTATTGCACTTATATAGCGACGTGCAATTACGTGTATGTACGTGTATGTATGTGTGTGGCTGCTTGTACTAGTCCGGACTGATGCCGATTTATAGTGCTAGCTCACTGAGATACCATGCCGCAGTTTAACATGAATACCCCACTCAGACACAGTATACTGACTCCGAGCCAACCAGTCCTTGTTTTAGCCCGTTAATGCCGAGCCCCAGACAGGGTAACAACAAGTACCATATTTTAACGTCTTTTGGTATGACGCGGTCGGGGATTGAACCCCGGACAGTCCATTCTCCGGGCGGACGCTCTACCATTTGACCATGGAGGCAGTGAACACTCATATAATATCCTCAATTCTTTCCATGTTGCGTAAGGATGGAAAAGGAACAAGCTCAATATTCCTTACGACTGATGACACACATACTTACTTTTCACCTTTCTCTTTTTCTTCTTCGTCTAAATATGAATATTCTCTCCATGAATCAAATTCATACCTGGAATATAGGATATGATGATGAGATAGAAATACCGTACCACATAAAGGCTAAAAAAATATATAAAAGAATAGGTTCTCAGGCAATGGCTTTTAAAACATTGTGCAGGTTTTTGTTTTTTTCGGTTGTTCAAGCTAGTATGTAACCAAATTTTCTTAACAATAATTTCTGTGAAATCATGATGTTCTTAAAGTACTCTAGCATTTCACTGCCAGGGTCATGTGTTTGAGATGCAGAATATTTAAAGATTCTTTTGGGGGGGAAAATGGAAATAAAAATGAAATATGTGGCAGACGTTATGATGATGCGGCGGAGCCTGGGAACCAAGACTAATATTTTCTACAGCATAAGAGCGGTTTTTGATTGGTATTTTCACAATTACGATTTTCCTATTCTGGCAAACATATTAGACATTGCGAAGCCATATTTTCCCACAGTAACATAGTAATTTTGTTGTTTCCTGAATTAGTGAGTCAGATTTACTGTCTTATCTCCACAATATCTCTGAAAAACAGCAAGCAATTTTTCTGGTCTGGCCTGCAATGGCTCAGGGATATGGTCGACATTTCAGGTGAGGTGAAATGAGGTTTAACGTCACGTCCAAGATTATTGCACTAATATAGCGACATGCATGCATGTGTGTGTGTGGCTGCTTGTTCTAGTCTGGACTGATGCCGATTTATAGTGCTAGCTCACTGAGATACCATGCTGCAGTTTAACATGAATACCCCACTCAGACACAGTATACCGACTGAGCCGACCAGTCCTTGTTTTAGCCCCTTAATGCCGAGCACCAAACAGGGTAACAATAAGTACCATCATTTAATGTCTTCTGGTATGATGCGGCCGGGGATCGAACCCCGGACCTTCTGCTATCCGGATGGACGCTCTACCACTAGACCACGGAGGTGGTCTACAACATTTCAGGTAGGTGATAACAGCCTACAGTGTTGCAGACATATGGCTGCAATCTGCAAAATGGAACTTCTAGTGTTAACAGCATACAGCTAAAAGAAACAACTTAGTACAGCAATGATATAAACCACTTACCAAAAACCATAAAAGTCATTGACTTCATCAAATGTGGACTTGTCATCTCCTAGTGAGGGCACTCGTTTCTTGTTTGACCACCTGAAATGTACAATGAAATTACTAGCTTGATCTGGCCGGCTGTTCTGCCACACCTGCAGATGATGCAGGACTTATAGAATAACCCACGAGGTACGAGTGATTACGGAAAATATGTCACGAGTGAAATTAATGTTTTACGTTCCGAGCTTTGAGAATCACTAATTGCACACTGTGCAAATATCAAAAAGTTATTACACTGCATATTTGAGCCCATATGGGTAATAAACAAAATTTTGAACCATCCATCTGGTAAATGTATTGTCAAATTGTGACAGGTCAAAGACACATTTCAGAAATACAAACCTTGCATTCCTTTCAAACACTGATGTGAAGACTTCATAGAAGTTTTCTTTTGAGTTTGTTGTTGCTGATGGTACTGAATCATCAAATTCAGGATCAACACTGTCATACGCTCGTCTCTTGGAGGGAGTACCCAGAACCTCATAGGCTGAAACAAGCACCAATACAGCCTCTGTAGTCACCTGACTTCACTCAAACACTAACACAGTTAAACACAATAGCATTAAACAAGCACTGCTTAACATTGCTTGGGCCATGGGTCATTTGTGATTCTGGGAAAGACACATGACACATTTCTAAGTATCCTACTTAAAAAAAGTTAAGGACCACCTGATTCTTTCATATTACTACAGATATATGTCATGCCAGATTAGGTGAGGTGAAATGGGGTTTAACGTCGCGTCCAAGATTATTGCACTTATATAGCGACGTGCATGCCCGTGTGTGCGTGGCTGCTTGTACTAGTCCGGACTGATGCCGATTTATAGTGCTAGCTCACTGAGATACCATGCCGCAGTTTAACATGAATACCCCACTCAGACACAGTATACTGACTCTGCGCCGACCAGTCCTTGTTTTAGCCCCTTAATGCCGAGCGCCAGACAGGGTAACAACAAGTACCATCTTTTAACCTCTTTTGGTATGACGCGGCCGGGGATCGAACCCCAGACCTTCCACTCTCCGGGCTGACGCTCTACCACTAGACCACGGAGGCGGTCTCATGCCAGATTAACTATAGTAATATGAAAGAATTGGATGTTCTTTAACTTCCTTTGAGTAGCACAGTATGGGAAACCAGAACCATCCTTCGCACATGAGCAAATGGAGCTCCCAGGGTAAGGAATTATATTTTGTTTTCACTATTCCACAAAATATTTCTGCTTCAGAGTTCTTCCTGAATTTTACCGTTTACTAGTTCCAGACATGGTGTCAGACTAGCAAACTCCTGCTAATTTCAAACACTTCTGAGAGCATGTTGTTTGACACCAATGTCAGTAATATTTTGGCAATATTCCAGCAATATCATGGAAGCATGGTCCAGGCAAACCAGTGGTTGACTGCATGAGCAATGATCTACAATGCAAGGCAGGGTAGATTAACTGCTGGCCCATTGGCCCATGGCCAGTTAAAATTACAAAGGGCTTGCTGAAACGTAGATGGTGCGTCTGGGTAGTCAAAATTCCGCCCCTTCTCTGTGTATGTTTCATTTTTTTAATTTGATCATCTCAGTAGAATGAGTGTGAGTGAGTTGTTTTCAACACCGCTTTTAACAGTATTCCAGTTATACACGGCGTGTCAGCATAATGTGGGAGGAAAGCCGGTCTAAAACGTTTACACCTTCAGTGAAACCCACGAGCACGGGTATGGTGCTGACAAACCTAGAAACATAATCAGGGCGAACCGGAGTTCGAACCCACAACCAAAGGTTTCTGGCATGCCCAAGGGATGCAACACAGCACAGGGAATCGTGGTGCCTTAGACAACTGCGCCACCCGTGCCCCCCAGTTGAATGACAACTGGCCACCATTTCGTAATGTTCTGTACAACATCTTTAATTGCTCATAAATCACCACAAAATGAGGCAAATGGAAGCCACGGTTTAATCTCAAGAGCGCAGGAAAAAGCATTTTAGGGGTGAGGAGTTCTAAAATTTTTAGAGTCCTGCCAGGGGACTACGTGACCTCATGCCTGGCCACTTCGCGGTCTCCACCTTTTAGTTGTAGGCTAGTTAGTTTGGAGAAGGGCCAATAACTTTCAAAGGAGCAAGCCCTGCTGGCTACATACAGATTTGCTGTTAAATATACCCCTGCAAGTTAACACTGAAACAATCAGCGAGGTCGGATATTTAACCTGATCCATATCATGCTCATTGGTTCGCTCTTGAATCAAACATGGGTTACCAAGTACCTAGTTTGCCCAGAAATCCCCACACGGATATTTTCATGTCATAATGTTTATGACCCAAAAGCATTTTAGTCTGAAGCTGTCAGTGACACTGTATACAATACTGTTGGTAATAAAGGCTTCTCTGGGAATAAACTGAAATGTGAATGCATCACCTACACTAGCTTTAGGACAAACCCACAAAAGTTATCAGGGCGAATCTGGGATTCAAACTCACAAGCATAGGATCATGGAACACCAAAGGGACGCAACTCTGCACAGAGAATTGTGCCTTAAAGTACAAGACCACAGTGCCCCCTCAATACATAATGAAGTGTCTTCTGTATGGTATCATTCAGTGCCATACAGCAAGGCATCAGTGGATGTTTTCAGCCATAATACTATGATAGTGAACATCCAATACATCACAGCTCATACATTGACCTTTGATACAATGCTGCAAGGTCATGATAAGATACGTATCGCGACACATAGGTCACAATACGGTACGTATCGCGATACACATATTTACGTCAAATCACATGGAAACTTCTTGACTATAAATATTTCAGAGCAGGTTCAAAAGGAAAAGCTAGCTGTAGACACATGTTCGTAATGGCTATTTTTAGTAGTGAACTTGAAACGCAAATTACAACACATTTTCCTGAATCTGAGTGATAAAAACAATAGGGGTAATTAAACGAGTAGAAAGTAATTTATTTCAGAAAGTGTATGTCTTGTATCGATACAGAGAAAAACGTATCTTGTATCGTTTCGTCACATGAAAACTCATCATGCACCAGTGCACCGATGCATCGTTTCACCCCGACTGTGTTAGTTGGTTGGTTTGTTGTTTAACGCCGCACTCAGCAATATTCCAGCTATATGACGGCAGTCTGTAAATAATAGAGTCTGGACCAGACAATCCAGTGATTAATATCATGAGCATCGATCCACGCAATTGGGATCCATGACATGCATCAACCAAGTCAGCGAGCCTGACCACCCAATCCCGTTAGTCGCCTTTTACGACAAGCATGGTCGCCTTTTACGGCAAGCATGGGTTGCTGTAGACCTATTCTACCCCGGAATCTTTACGGGTCCCGACTGTGTTAAGGACACATACCTCTGGTGATACATGTGAAGTAATCATCTTCACCATCCTTCACCTTCATGCCTCTCGCCTTCCGCTTGTCAGGGTGATGCTTCAACACTTTCCTTTTATCTGTAAACATGGTAAACGTTCACTTTCTTTGGCATTGTTTTATCTCTCAAGGTTAATGCACCAAGAGCTGCATGATATACCATTGGCTACCAAAAACCTAACAAATAGATTTGTTTGTTGTTTAATGCCACACTCAGCAATATTCCAGCTATATAACGGTGGTCTGTACATAATCAAGTCTGGACCAGACAATCCAGTGATTGACATCATGAACATCGATCTACGCAATTGGGATACGGTGACATGCATCAAACCAAGTCAGCGAGCCTGACCACGCGATCACATTAGTCACCTCTTATAGTTATCTGTATTATGAATGTATTGCAATATGACCATGGCTACTTGATATCACAATACTAAATCAAGGGCGGTAACCATTTACCAAATATTCATTGCCTTGCAATACACCCGGCTATGATACTGGTATAACTCAATTTGTGCAGCTATGTCATGTCTCGATGCAAAATGAAACAAAAATACATAAAAAGTTTGTAATTGAGAATTCTTAAAAGTTCTTTCTTCTTAAGTTCAGAGGTATTTAGCATTGCATTCATTGCAAGAATGTAAATTAATGCCTTTCCTTTATTGGTCCAGACGTCTGCTATTGGTGAAAAACAAGTCCCCTCTTCCAAGCCATCATATTAGTTGTGGCTATAACACAAATTGGGAAACTGTAAATTCCTATTTGGGAAAACTAACTGACATTTGCTTCAGACTGGTGTCCAATATTTGGCCTCAGGGCAGGTCAAGATAAATCCCTGGGATGACAAGTTGGTTGGTTGGTTGATTGGTTTGTTGTTTTACACAGAACTCAGCAATATTCCAGCTATATGACGGCGGTCTGTGTAAATAATTGAGTCTGGATCAGACAATCCAGTGATTAATATCATGAGCATCGATCCACGCAATTGGGATTGATGACATGCATCAACCAAGGCAGTGAGCCTGACCACCCAATCCCATTAGTCGCCTTTTACAGCAGGCATAGGTTGCTGAAGACCTATTCTACCACGGGATCTTCACGGGTCGGGGTGACATGTAAAATGGTATGAACTTACCTTACTATTGAGATATGCATCATATCGCTTACAGACGTATTATGTCCACACATGATTACAGTTACCGTATTTGTGGTGTTAAGTGGCCTGCTCCAATAGATGCCCCCAGACTAAATTCTAGACCAATCTATACGTAATCTATATAAGCACCCTGTGCTAAGACGGAAAATGTACATGACAGTCATTTCTTTCATGTGTACATTACCGAAGACAGTAGTGTAGAAGGGTCATATAACATGTATGATTGCATTGTAACTATTATTAAAAATATTTTAGTTTTATCAACATTTGAACTTAATTACTTGACTATCATTCTATCTCTGAAAACAAATTTAACTTCCTGTGCATTGGTTTAATAACTGCCCCCTTTGTCAACTTTCGAAGCACGCAGAGCACTTATTATGGCAAATATGGTGCAAAAAAGCACCAAGTAGTCAATCCTACCAATACTTACATGCCCTCTTTATCTGATCCTCTGATGCCTTGTAGCGAAGATTCTTCAGTCCTAACACTGCATAGTGATCTTGATGCTGCAATCAGTAGGGGTTAGGATAAACTTGAATTGACATCAAGAATACCCTTTCTCTATTATTTTTATTGACATATTACACACACACAACCTGAAATTCTTTAATATACATCATAGAAATTAACCAGAAAGGTCGACTTGCCAGAATGGTAAAACAGCAATACCCCCAAAAATATTTGGAATTTTAGTAATGCTTTACATAACAAAACTGATCCCTGCTAACGGGCTAGTCCTATCTATTGCCAATTCCTTTCCAATCTTTCTCATCTTTCATCTTAAGAAAATCTCAACCCTGTTCATGTAAGATCTTTGAAAGGCATTTAGAAGTAATACACATAAGGAAGACAATATATGGATGTAAAATTCTTTATTATGAGGAACACAACGTTTCGGAGTATATGCCTACTCCTTCATCAGGTGAATGAATGCCATGAGGCAGAGAGCAGGTATATGTACATGTAAGGACAACAAAATTAATAAGATAACAAAAGGTGGAAAATAACAAAGGATAGAAACTAACAAGGGAAGCCAACAGATGATTGGTGCTGATAGGTGATTAGCAATAGACAATGGAAGCTATTGTCATTGTTTCTTATTAATTTTGTCATTTCTTATCTTGACATTCATACCTTCCACTCTTTTGGGTCTAAACCCAGTAGCAGTGCTTCGCTGAATTCATCATCATCATAGATATCTGTCTCACTCTCGGAAGAGCTGGAGCTGGACCGGGAATGATGAGATACTGAATGCTTGTTCTGGAGACGCTGAGTATACGCTTCAAACCAGCGACCAACTGGTTCCACCTCCAAAATAAGTGGACCTGACAAATATTCAGTTAGGTAATGAAAATTTAGCCTGTAGCTAGATGATACTTTGATAATGAAACATGATTTCATATAGCCTACAATCATATTTCTTCAAATATGTAGCAAACGTGGAGGATATGCATAGAAACAGCTACTTTCACTAATAGGGAGAACGTAACAGGCAACTCTCTGGCAAATAACAAATGGTAAAATAATTCCTGAAAGAAATAGTTCTTTATAGGCTACATCATCAACATGTGGCTTAATCCTCTTCTTATTACATAATTTCGCAGAAAACATATATCATAATTTAACAAAATATTGTGACCTAAAATTATCCGTTGAAGTAAGGAATATAATTCATACGAAAAAAGACTCTTAAAAAAAAAGATTTATCAATGTTGTATGTAGGTCCTCACTTGACAACTTTCCAAAGACTTCCGTCGTCTGGCCGTCAGTGGCAACCGGCAACATTTTCTTAGCAAGGTCACTTCAACAATACGTATTTTTCTGTTAAATGAACATAGACATTTTTTATCTGTTATTCTTTAAATCACCATATACTGTTGACTACTTAAACAGAATCGGCGTCTTCATCACTTCGGCATGTTTCACTCGCACATGTGACATCGAGGCTAACGAATAGAATTGTGGTATTTACCAACAGTATATTTTCTGACTCAATCCTTGTTCGATAAAGGCCGCTTTACGGCACATTGGGGATACGACTTCTGGTCATTTACACCCTATCTAAACAAACTTTTCTTAAGGTACGGTTTATTTCTTTAATTCAATTATGTTTGTTTTTTTGCATAGGCGTTACACAATCTGGTAATGAAATGACAAAAATGGTGTGCGTTACTATAATTTGTGTGTGCCGATTTCGACTCACAGGAACGTTGTTTTTTGCAGCGGTCCTTTGTAGTAGGGATACGATGAAACAGCTTGGATGCCATATCAGTATTTCTTCACCGTTTGCAGCAAGGTTATTAAGAGTCAGGAGGCAGATCAAGGATTGTGTTTGTATGTTGTTTAACGCCTTATTCAGCAATATTCCAGCTCAATGACTACGCTCTGTAAATAATCGAGCAATCGACAGCCTCAAAGATTTAGTCACAGTGTGAACAAATCCGGCTGGCGCTGGCTGACACATATTGTGACTGAGAGTGTTTTTGGGTATATGTTTTACTTTAATGACAGAGAGGCTTATAAGGGACCACCAGCCTGATGACTGTCATTCGGCTACAGCCCAAACTCCTTGCAACATGGTCATGCGTTGCTTCTTGATGTATCATACCAATAGCTAGTTCTCTCAGTCGTATCCTTATTCTCAGCATGTTATTTGTCACTGTCGAACGGTTTGGGTGTGAATGAACACTTCATCGTTCCTTTTACATCCAGATCTTTGTAGGCTGGAATGCTGCAAGTGCAGCAAACGTTTCACTTCAAACTCGAGTTCCACTGATCTGGGTAATGTAGCACTGCTTTACTCAGCAAACTGTTGTTGTTGTGTTTGGGCGGTTGATTCTCAACTATTTTGTAACATTATTCGGGGTTTTGACCAAAGGTGTCCAACTTTCAGTTTGGTAATGTTTCTATTTTTCCTCAGTTGACATCAAAAGTTATTGCACTTATGCCCATCATCCTCAATCTTAGTACAGTAAACTACGGTTATAACGAACTCAAAGGGACTACTATTTTTAGTTCGTTATAACCGTAGTTCGTTATAAGCGTGTTCGTTATAACCGTAGTTTACTGTAATTGAGTACATTCCTCTGTAGATGTGAGTACAAACATATCAAGCTGACTGGGATTTGCTTCACATGTTGGTCCTTGGTCCTTTTAATTATTTAAAAAAAATGCTTTATCATGCTGCTATTTTCATTGTTCTCTTTCAAAATCACCTACGTCTGTACCGTTATTATGTTTAAGTGAACAGGGAGAACATTTTAACATTCTTTCCATAGGTTGAATTCGATATGTGCCGTAAAAATGATCTCAGTTCTCTTTTTAGAAGAAAAAAAATCTCAGCTCCTACAATAAAAACAACAACCTATGACTCTACCCCAAAACCCGGGCCCCCCTCTTATCTTTAAATATCAATGGCCAGCCCCTTGAAAAATTAAAATCATTTTTAAGGGGTTGTTGGAGGTGTTATATATAGGTGTATCAACAATTAGTTGGGGCATGATTACGAAACATTTTCGATGAAGCTCACTCACTCACTCACTCACTCACTCACTCACTCACTCACTCACTCACTCACTCACTCACTCACTCACTCACTCACTCACTCACTCACTCACTCACTCACTCACTCACTCACTCACTCACTCACTCACTCACTCACTCACTCACTCACTCACTCACTCACTCACTCACTCACTCACTCACTCACTCACTCACTCACTCACTCACTCACTCACTCACTCACTCACTCACTCACTCACTCACTCACTCACTCACTCACTCACTCACTCACTCACTCACTCACTCACTCACTCACTCACTCACTCACTCACTCACTCACTCACTCACTCACTCACTCACTCACTCACTCACTCACTCACTCACTCACTCACTCACTCACTCACTCACTCACTCACTCACTCACTCACTCACTCACTCACTCACTCACTCACTCACTCACTCACTCACTCACTCACTCACTCACTCACTCACTCACTCACTCACTCACTCACTCACTCACTCACTCACTCACTCACTCACTCACTCACTCACTCACTCACTCACTCACTCACTCACTCACTCACTCACTCACTCACTCACTCACTCACTCACTCACTCACTCACTCACTCACTCACTCACTCACTCACTCACTCACTCACTCACTCACTCACTCACTCACTCACTCACTCACTCACTCACTCACTCACTCACTCTTCTGCCACTATGTTCGGGGTCAAAACACGGTTGCGCATTCACAGGAGCGTTTGTACAACTAAGGGAGATAACTCAGGATGTTGCCTATTCGAGTGAAGCCAGTGGGGACGGTCCTATTACTCCTATAGAAAAGTACGGTGGGAAATTTAAAATGGCGACGACAGGGAGAGGTATTATCCTGAGCGGGAAATTGAAAAAGAAAACTGATCGCAGTCGACGTGATGTTAATTCACCAAGGTGTCAGCCATACAAGGTATGTATTTTACCTCAAGCATGTGTAATTTGATCATTTTGTGACATATTTGGATGAAGAACGTCATAGTTTTAACAAGTTGTCGTTATCCTTTGAAACGATTTTGACACTGACAGTGACACTTGTGATCATATTTCCTCGTTGGTAGCGGTACTGACGGTTGGATTAGACTCGTACCCACTCGCAAATGGACACTGAAATTCAAGAAAAGTGTAAACCAATGCTTGTTTCACTTTAATCGTACCTTTCAAATACCTGATCATAATTATGATGTTGATGTAAACATCATGAACATGTAAGGTGAAAACCGAAGATTGTAAACTTGCCCAAACTCTAAATCAAATTGTCACCGTTACACCAAGTTTTATCCTGCCCACACCTTTCCTACTTTACCAGGGGGCACGGGTGGCCCAGTCGTCTAAGGCGCCGCGGTTCGCGGTGCAGAGTTGCGTCATTTGGGCATGCCAGAAACCTATGATTGTGGCTTCTAATCCGGGTTCTCCTTGATTATGTTTCTAGGTTTGACAGCACCATACCTGTGCTCGTGGGTTTCACTGAAGTGGTAAACGTCTGAGACCTGCATCACTTTGGGCTTTCCTCCCACATTAAGCTGACACGCCGTGATATAACTGGAATACTGTTAAAAAGCGGCGTTAAACCCAACTCACTCCCTCCTACTTTACCATTGGCTAATGCACATCTCCTGTTCTGTATTTCACTACTGACAACTGTTCAATTAAATGAAAAGTGTTACATAAAGTTAACAGATAAAATGGGTGTGGTGTGGTGCAAAATATGATATCCAGTCCTAAGACCAATACTTATCATCAAGATCATGCTTACAAGGTTTGTTTTCTTCATGTGAAGTCTGAGGTTTTGGTTTATCAGGTTATACGTCGAGATGCATGTCGAGTATATGATCGGATTTACGCAGCTATATATGGTCAATGCGTTGGAGATGCCCTGGGATTATTGACAGAAACTCAATCTAAAGAAGAGGCTAAAAAGGTATGTAGTGTTAATGACTTTACCATTTTTACGATTAAGAACATGTATACATGATAACATTACGTTTCCCTGATTTGATATTGATTTGAATTGTGTGACATTGTAATAAAGAAATTATTAGAAGCTACTATGTAACCCTCTAAGTTTTTTCAGAGACAAACCTAAGTCTTTAGGAGCCAACAGATATTTTAGGCAGATAATGTCACCAGTTATGCTTACTATTAGGTAGCCAAGTTGCGAGCAGTTTATAAATTTATGTCACCAATCATTGTTTTGAGTCGCATTTGGCCACCAAAATGGACGCTACTTTGAGGGCTGATGCTGGTTACGCAGTTATGAAATACCAGGGATTCCTGGTTATAATAGGGGGCACGGGTGGCCCAGTCGTCTAAGGCACCGCGATTCGCTGTGCAGAGTTGCGTCCCTTGGGCACGCCAGAAACCTTTGATTGTGGGTTCGAATCCCGGTTCTCTCCGATTATGTTTCTAGGTTTGTCAGCACCATACCCGTGCTCGTGGGTTTCACCGAAGTGGTAAACGTCTGAGACCTGCATCACTTCGGGCTTTCCTCCCACATTAAGCTGACACGCTGTGATATAACCCAACTCACTCACCTGGTTGTAATAGGTCTTCAGCAACCTTTGCTTGTCAAATGGATCCCGTGGTCAGGCACAGTTACTTGGCTCATTTTTTGTCTTTATGTACCCAAATGTCCAGGATTGTTGTTCATCGTGTCAATGACTGTCTTGCCTGATCCAGACTTGATTATATACAGGAATATTGTTTCGTGCAATAGTTCTCTTACAGACTTGATGTTGATAAATCTGTTCTGATAGTGAAACTTCAATATTGCCTCACTAATGCTTAGAACTTTCCATGCATCTATCACAGTCCTATATAGAAAAGCACCAAATAGCAAGCTCTCTGTTGTCCTCAAAACATGAAATACATTCTCTTTGCAGATTTCTATTGTGTTTTCTGCACTAAATGTATTGCCAAACATACTTTGAATATTGCGGTAACTGCAACTGTGCATTTTGTTGCCTATATTTGTACATATGATTATTTAAATATGCCTACTGACAATGACTGTAAAAGAAGGACTATTCTCAAAATATTAGCCTTCACGGTGATGCGGCCATCAAATATGCTGTTTTAATCCGAGGGGGTTTATTGTGATTTGTTACCTCTGATTGACCAATCAAAATTGCGTATTTTGCAAATTCATGGTATAATAACATATACACACCATACAAACTGTGATGATTTTTCTATTACAGCTATATGGGCCTGTGTGCAACAAGTTCCAGCTAGTCCACAAGAAAATGTTGGCAGATGCACATCGTCGCAAGTGGGATGTGTATGACTGGACAGACGAGACAGATCACATGATCCTCCTCATTCAGTCCCTGGTGGAGAACAAGGGGCAGGTAAGCAACTCTGCTGTATACAGTCTGTAGATTCCAACTTGGAGTAAGTCCACAGCAACCGACGCTGGTCTTGCGAGATGACTCTGGATTTGGTGTCCGGCTTGGTGATTTGCTTGATTACATGTCATAATACCATGACAACGTAGATTGATGTTTATGATATCGATCACTGGTTTGCCTGTTATTTACAGGCTGCTGTCATAGCAGGTACAGCTGAAATATTGCTGAGTGCAGCGTTTAACAACAATTGGGATAAACACCAGGGATTTTGCAAGGCTCCCGAAGGAGCCGACTTGCTCCTAACATGATAACTGTATTTAACGTAATAAGAGCCCAGGGCGCTCTCAAAATTTGAAATAGGGCTCTTATTATTTGGTTGAAAGATCGTAAATTTCGTGGTTTATGCTGACAGCCTGAAATGTTTATATACGACAGATATATTTTTCCAGAATTTAATTGCCCATAATTAAGGGTGCCATGGAATCACTTGCAATGTATTCATTATCCCCCGCCTCGACAAAGTTGGCGGGGGATCTAGAAAGGGGCTCCACCTGTCCGTCCGCCATGCTTAGTTTCTGAAGCAGAACTCGGAAACCATGAGATAACATTACAATACTTGGTACACATTCACCATATGGTGTAGATGTGCCTTTTGCTATTGAGGTTTCCCCTGCAATTTTCATATATTTTATATAGATTTTTGAAACTTGGACTGAATGAAAACAGTGAGTTTCATTTCCTGAGTAGAATTGGAAAATTAATTTAGAGGTATCATTTAGAAACTTGGTAAACACATTCACTCTACAATAGTGTTGATGTGCCTTTTGCTATTTATGATTCCCCCAATTATTTTGATTTTGATATAAATTTTATAAATTTAGACTTAAATTGAATGGAAGCAATCTTAACTACTTTATCTCAGTTCTGTTATGTACTTCTCCATGAAATTTTGTACAATAGAAACTTTGTACAATATCAGTCTAAGGCTGTTGTGGAATCTTTGTTCTTATTTTCTTTTCTTTTTTCAATTAAATGACACACCACTAGACTCTGCAACAAACAAAGCTATGAAAGGATTCACAGTAAATGTAATACCGTATTTGACGCAATAAGCACCCCACTCTAATAAGCGCCCATGGCGATATTTGCTAATATACTGGCTAGTGAACAATCCTAATTAGCACCCCTTCCGATTGATCAATGTACACACAGTGTTTGCGTTTACGGCGTCCCATATACAAAAATACGCACTGAAAAAAAATAGGACGCAAAAAAACCAACCTTCACGCGTCCCCTTACGCGTTTTTATTTTGAAAAAAGTTCACTTCACGCATAACTTATTGTTGTTTTGTTTTGTGTTTCTCTCGCTCCCAAAACCCATGTGATAATGTGTATCCAATATTCGCTGGGTTCCGGTGCAAGCCAGATTTCGGTGGGAAACTGAGAGGTATCCGATGGCGTTTCTCTTCCATGTCGTGTCCGTAATGGCATCGCTGATTGGTTTACAAAACGGAAATAGAAATGTAAGCCAATCGCAGACCCTGTTAACAGTATTTAAGTCCAAATGGCATCCCCGAAACTTTGTCAAAAGAAAAATAGGTTTCAAGAAAGTTTGCTTGAAGAGCCAATATCCTCTTTCAACACCATAGGCCGGTAGACCAGCCATGTCGTAGTCACGTCAAAATAAAGGCTAGATCTATATAATTTTATGAACCTACCTGTCATATCATTCATTTATTAAATCAATCACATTTCACAATGTCTGAAATACGTATTCCATTTCAATTTATCATTTTTTATCGAAAGATTAAATGATTCACTATTTCCCGCAATGTTATTGAAAATGAAATTCTCGGACACACACTTCGACAACGGTCCACATCGAACATGTCAAAGAGCAAAACAAAGACGTTTCAAGCAAATCTTTAAATCTAGTATACAAAGTGATAAATAACATCAACCAAAATATATCTATAAGTTGTCGAAATTACAGCTAAGTTATTATTTCAATCTTTTCGTGCGATCGCAAGTTGTAAATGCTTTATTTAAATAATGGGATAAACATAAATATGTATAAACAGTAGGATTAGACCTTTCAAATGGTGTATAACATGTAGTTGCAAAGATGTTTTACTAGACTAACATTTAGTCTATGAAATCTTATATTACACAATACCCTTCTCGACTCTAAAAATAAATATATAATTTCCCCTTTGCTGATTTCCTAGCTAGAGCTGGCTTGACTTGCTTTTGTATACGTTTCTAGATTGGTGTTGTTTTCACAAAATATATATATTCCACAGTCATGGTGCAGGACTAATGTTTTACAAGCAGATATTTTCCTTGATAAATGTTGGCTTCATCTATCACACAAGAGTCTCTGGGAACTTGGTGTCACAGCAGATAAAGCTCCTGGTTGACTGGTGTTGAAAGAGTCAAGTGGCTAATCTATGAAGATTTCAAAGATGTTTTGTGTACACACATAAAAACTGAGACTTAAAGATTTTAACCACACACTTATTTATGCTCAGAATGGCCTAAAGTTCACCATTTCAGGTCCACATTTAACAAAATTTCGTGGGGGGGCATGCCCCAAAACCCCCCTAGATAGCTTCGCGCCTATGGCGCTCACGGCTACCGCATCACAGGGGACCCCGTTATTTTGGAACACAACGCAAACACTGACACAAGACTTATTTATTTGCCTATAATACACACTCATGTGTTATATGCACCCTTGGATCATTGTACACAGGTGGTGCCCGAGGACATAGCCAAGCGGTTGATGGAATGGTTGGAGCGTGGCTTCCCGGAGCTGGGAGATGTGTGTGGCCCTGGGTTGTGTAGCTTCACCAAGAATGTTGTCAACCATCCACAGTTCTCAGAGGCACCTGACAAGGTAGAGAGAATTAATATCAGTGACAGGGATGCAACCTAAGAATTACTTCTTTAAAGACAAGTCCAGATGACTAGTGTAAACCATATTTCACTAGTCCTCAGTTTGTAGCTAGTCTTGCTTGAACAAGACAATGCAGAGTTGTAGCCCTTGGACATGCCATTAAACAGCAAACAGTGTGTGGCATACAGAGCTCCAGATAAGCTGCATATCTGCGTAAAATACACATCAGAAATGCAGAAATATGCAGTAAAATAAAATCCAAGCGTATCAAATACGCAACGAACATTACAGATACGCTACAAAAATAAAACTTGTGTGTATCATCAAAATATTGTGAAGTAACCCTGCGTATTCGATTAGCAAATCAGCAACTTATTTTGAAATTATAAACGGGCATTCCATCAACCTTGCCAAACTCCACGATGACAGTTACATCATAATCATTTGCCATCACACTTTCTTGTGGAAGTATGGTATTTTTGAGTCCTATAAAGCTCTCGTACCCAGACGACACCAGTTTGCAGGGACTAGATGAATAGTGTTTTTAAATATTTAACTTAAATACCCACATGTGTAAAAACTAGTGTGTAACAGAAAATTGAATACCCAGATAGAATTACTGATACCCAATGATTTTAAAATGCATGGGTAAAATACCCACAACACGAAAAGCTTATCTGGCATAGTTGATGAATGTAGTCAACATTTTCTCTGGTTCATGAAGAGCTAAGCTGTTGACATGATTGTCCGGGTTAGAATTGGTCTTCAGCAAGCTATGCTTGTTGAGGGAAGCGACTTATGGGATCAGATCGTCAGACCGCTGACTTGTCCGATGCATGTCATCCCAATAGCATAGATTGTTGCTCATTGTTGCTTATGGTGCCAATCACTGGATTGTCTGGTCCATATTCGAATGTTTACAGACCACCGTCATATTGCTGAGTGTAGCGTTAATCATGTAATCAACAAACAAACAAACATGATTGATAAGTTATGATATCTTTCAGACTTGATTTATAGATCTGACTATCCAACATACCGTATTCAACGTAATAAGCGCCCAGGGCGCTTTCAAAATAAGAAATAGGGGGCACTTATTAGAATATATTTTGGTGAAAAAAAATGCCAGAGTTGAAAGATCGTAAATTTTGTGGTTTATGCTGACAGCTCGAAATGATACAAAAGATAGTCTGTGCGTATTATACACGACACATATATTTTTCAAGAAATTACATTGATAAATCGGAAGGGGTGCTAATTGGGATTGTTCAGTTGCCAATATATTAGCAAATATCGCCATGGGCGCTTATTAGAGCGGGGTGTTTATTACGTCGAATACGGTATTAGTAAAATTTAAAAAAGAGTCCTTTTCTACTTATCTAGTTAAAACAAGCCATACTCAAAAGTAAATCCACGTGGATAAAGAAGGGTCTGTTTTTATGTCATTCAAGGAACAGATCAAATTCTGCATTGGCTTGCATTTCATTTGTCATGACCAACCTTTTCAGAGATGACTTTTCTGAAAAAAACATTCAGTTATGTCTCAATTTTGACCATCTTGTATTCACATGTTGTTTCCTCTGCAGGCAGCTGAGATTGTGTGGCGAGACTGTATTCACATGTTGTTTCCTCTGCAGGCAGCTGAGATTGTGTGGCGAGACTGTATTCACATGTTGTTTCCTCTGCAGGCAGCTGAGATTGTGTGGCGAGACTGTATTAACATGTTGTTTCCTCTGCAGGCAGCTGAGATTGTGTGGCAAGACTGTATTCACATGTTGTTTCCTCTGCAGGCAGCTGAGATTGTGTGGCAAGACTGTATTCACATGTTGTTTCCTCTGCAGGCAGCTGAGATTGTGTGGCGAGACTGTATTCACTTGCTGTTTCCTCTGCAGGCAGCTGAGATTGTGTGGCGAGACTGTATTCACATGTTGTTTCCTCTGCAGGCAGCTGAGATTGTGTGGCGAGACTGTATTCACATGTTGTTTCCTCTGCAGGCAGCTGAGATTGTGTGGCGAGACTGTATTCACATGTTGTTTCCTCTGCAGGCAGCTGAGATTGTGTGGCGAGACTGTATTCACATGTTGTTTCCACTGCAGGCAGCTGAGATTGTGTGGCAAGACTGTATTCACATGTTGTTTCCTCTGCAGGCAGCTGAGATTGTGTGGCGAGACTGTATTCACATGTTGTTTCCACTGCAGGCAGCTGAGATTGTGTGGCAAGACTGTATTCACATGTTGTTTCCTCTGCAGGCAGCTGAGATTGTGTGGCAAGACTGTATTCACATGTTGTTTCCACTGCAGGCAGCTGAGATTGTGTGGCGAGACTGTATTCACATGTTGTTTCCACTGCAGGCAGCTGAGATTGTGTGGCGAGACTGTATTCACTTGCTGTTTCCTCTGCAGGCAGCTGAGATTGTGTGGCGAGACTGTATTAACATGTTGTTTCCACTGCAGGCAGCTGAGATTGTGTGGCGAGACTGTATTCACATGTTGTTTCCTCTGCAGGCAGCTGAGATTGTGTGGCGAGACTGTCGCAGTCTGAGAGCCACCAACTGTGCCCTGGCCCGCGCCCCCATGTCTGGAATACATTACTACCATGTGCTGGGCAAGGTGATCAAGAACTCCCTGGATATATGCTCCATCACGCATGTGGATCCCAGGTACAGTGTGGGGCGGTGGGGTAGCCCAGTGGTCGATGTGTTTGCTTGTCACGCTAAAGTCCGGGTTCGATTCCCCACATGGGTTCGATTCACCACCTCTCAGCCTGAAATACACTGAACATGTTTTCATACAGTGTAGTTACGTACTAACTGGTTTACTTCTCTAAGGGTCCCTTGGGCATGCCCGAAACCCGTGATCGTGGGTTCAAATCCCGTTTCTCAGCACTGTACCTGTGCTTATGGGTTTGACCAAAATGCTAAAGGTCTGAAACCGTCATCACTTCTGGCTTTCCACCCACATCAAGCTGACATACTGTTACAGGAATACTGTTCAAAGCGGCATTTAACCAAACTCACTCACTCACTCACTCACTCACTCACTCACTCACTCACTCACTCACTCACTCACTCACTCACTCACTCACTCACTCACTCACTCACTCACTCACTCACTCACTCACTCACTCACTCTGGCTTAAGACACTCTTCCAGTCTTAGCATGCTAGTAATAATGTTGCTAATATGATCATGATAATACACACACCCTTCTACACAGCTGTATTTTTAAAAAGATAGTGTGGATGACACATATTGTGCACAAGAAAATGTGGAATTAACGACCGGTATCCAAATGTTACTTCTGATGTTCAATCCCTCAAAAAGCTAGCCTTTGTATCCCCAAAATGTATTTAAACATGTTGCATTTCAGCTGTCAAGCCTCATGTGTTGCTGTGGCAACTGTCATGTCGGCTCTGCTACAGAAAGATGAGAAACACTTGAAGAAGACTGGAGACTATGATATAGATTCTATAATTGAGGAGGCCTTCTCCTATGGCTGTCGGTGTATGCTGGGGCAGCCTTATTCTGACGTGAGTAATCCTTGACTGGTCAAGGGATCCATTCTAACATGGTCCACTCCTTCAGACATAGTCTATTGAACAGTTGTGTTCATATATTTGAACAAAATAAACCTTGAAAATATTTTCATAATGTTAAAAATAATCGGTTTTGTTTTAAGGGCATTCGTCATGGAGAGTTAGGATTGTAATATGAGCATGACGACAAACTTACAAATTCAATTCAGAATTGACTTTTTTGCGTTTGTGGAGGTATTAACATGATTAACATAAAGTCTGGTATGCACACCTTTTTTCACTCCATAAATGCGAAAAACATATTGAAGTCAATTCTTATGAATTTATATGTAAAGGAAAATAACTTCACAGACTGCTTATATTATCATTAACACAATAAAAACCCTGTAGATAAATAGAATCTCACCTGAGTGTCTTTTGATATCAAATATATCATCACGAGTTGATAAAAGTGGAAAGACTCCGAGAATTGCCGAGGAGTTTTTCCACTTTTATCAATGAGTTTCGCTCATCAAATGCAAAGCAATCATTTGCAATTTATTTTTTACGACATGAATGTCATTGTCAGTGTTAAGATATGGGTTAAGGAGAAACTGTTATATTCAGATTAAGGAGTTCAAGAAGATCCTGTACACAACATCGCTAAAAGATCTGAAGCTGGATGAGAGAGGCAAGATCAATCACACTTACAAGACCCTTGGAGCTGGGTTCTGGGCTCTTAAACAGAAGGACTTCCGTACTGCTATACGAGACATTGTCATGGAGGTGAGGCCATAGCTAGACTGTTAGCAGGATGAGGAAGTGGACTTGCCGTATTCTGTCTGACTGGTGGGTAGTCCTGGGCAGATAGCGCCCACTATCCCTTGTCGTAGTTGTTGCATTTTGAAACTGATTGTGGTGTCATTGTAGCCTGTTCACTGGATCATTACTCCATGCCTTGCTTATACCCCCATCACATTAGTTCTCAATACATTCGTGAAAATGTTGTCGAACGAGCTCCAACTGTGTATGAACGTAGTGGACGTGGTAGCAACTATTTACGAACTTCATGGGCGGGCTCAGACAGGGAGGGTGCTCTAGAACTTTGATTCTGCTCAAAATTTTATCCTGTCCATCCCGTTCTGCAATTAGTCAGATTGACAACGTACTTAAAACGAGAAAGACGTTTTACGAACAGAACTGCCGTACTTCGAACGGAATTGCCGTACTTCGAACCTACTAGGGACATGTTAAGACGTGGTGCAGTCGGACATAAATTTCAGTACGTGTGCACACGGACCGGGTTGACTTCTCTTTGGAGGCATGATGTGTACAGCTCAGAGCCCTGAACTTGAATGAAGACTGGCTTCAACGCGCTCGGTATCCATAGGAGTCGAGCCAGGACGGGCCAGGACGCGAATACACACGCACTTGGGACGAGATGAGGACGTACTGCGAACGAGTTGGTCGGGTTAAGGATTAGTTAGAACTGTCATGGACGTATTGTGAACGAGGTAGGACGAGGTTGAACTGGTTAAGAACAGGTTCAGAACGGCTACGGACATGCTGGAACTGCCTTGAAACGTTGTCAGGATGAGGTGAACGGGCACTTTTACACGATCTGAACTGGATACAAACGTACTGCAGACTGGCTAAGAACGAGATAGATGTATTGAGGACTGCTTATGAACGAACTAGCATCTAGTTTAAGCCAAACTACGCGTTCTACCGTGATCACAGCCCGTTCTAGTATTTTTTTAGAACGGGGTAGAACGGGATAAAACTACTTTGGTGTGATAGTAGCATTAGTAACAGGCTACTGTGATGCAGTGGCTTAATGTTGATGTAGATCTTAGACGTTTGCCAAGGGCACAGGTATGGTGCTGACAAACCTTGACACATGATCAGGGGAGTATCTGATTGGAACCCATCATGGGTTTCTGCCATGCCTGGGGCACGGGTGGCCCAGTCGTCTAAGGCGCCGCGATTCGCTGTGCAGAGTTGCGTCCCTTGGGCACGCCAGAAACCTATGATTGTGGGTTCGAATCCCGGTTCGCTCCGATTATGTTTCTAGGTTTGTCAGCACCATACCCGTGCTCATGGGTTTCACCGAAGTGGTTAACGTCTGAGACCTGCATCACTTCGGGCTTTCCTCCCACATTAAGCTGACCCGCCGCGATATAACTGGTATATTGTTAAAAGCAGCTTTAAACCCAACTCACTCACTCACTCTGCTATGCCTAAGGAACACCAGGGCCATTGACGTCCTCCGAGTGTTTGTTTGTTGTTAAACGCTGCACTCAGCAATATTCCAGGTTTATGATGGCGGTCTGTAAATAATCGGGTCTGGACCCGACAATCCAGTGGTTGACATTGTGTGTTTCGATCTACGTCATTGGGATGCAATGACATGCATCAACCAAGTCAGCAAGTCTGACCACCCGATCCCATAAGTCGCCTTTTTGCGACAAGCATAGTCACCTTCTACAGTAAGCATGGGTTGCTGAAGACCTATTCTATCCCGGATGTTCATGGATCTTTGACTCCTTCCTCAGCCTTTGATTGATAACAGGACCGACTTCTACCCAATGACATACGAGTATTTTACAGTTACAAGGAATTCTCCAACACCACTCAGTATCACATAGGAAAACTTGCTCAACCAACTACTTACTTGTATATCCCACTTTCTGCCCAGTCTAGATGATCTGATAGATACTCAAGATCTATATTGTAAGCAAACGGGTCTTACCTCACGAAGTGCATCAAATCATTTGTGCAAGTTGATAAGACATGAACAGATTTGGAAAATATGTCTATGCCCAGTTGACAGTACACATGTTTTGCCAATTGACCGAAATATGCATGGCAGTTGCCATGTTATTTATGAACTGCATGTCAAATCCGTTATGCAATTTTGATTGGAATTGGCATAGACTTGTTATTCCAGACAAAACATGACTTCAAAATTCCTGCCTAGTTTGGCAAGGGTGGAAACTGGACTTTCATAGTCAGTAAACTCCCTTGCCTTGGGAGACATTATGCAATGTCCACAACAGAAGATTTCAATATTACCCATTTCCTTCTATGGAAGGCTCAGAACTTGTCAATCACCCCTCTTATTTAACAATGATTGGTTGGTTGGTTTGTTGTTGAACGCCGCACTCAGCAATATTCCAGCTATATGACGGCGGTCTGTAAATAATCGAGTCTGGACCAGACAATCCAGTGATTGACATCATGAGCATCAATCCACGCAATTGGGATCGATGACATGCATCAACCAAGTCAGCGAGCCTGACCACCCGATCCTGTTAGTCGCCTTTTACGACAAGCATGGTCGCCTTTTACGGCAAGCATGGGTTGATGAAGACCTATTCTACCCCGGATCTTCACAGGTCTATTTAACAATGAAAGATAGTTATAAAGTGAGCTCCAGGGCCTACAGCTGTTGTACCGCGTGTTGGTTGCAGGGTGGAGATGCTGATGCTAATGCATCTCTGGCGGGGGCCTTCCTGGGATGTAAGCTGGGACTCGACGCGATCCCCACCACCTGGATCCAGGACCTCAAGCACCGGCGCTGGCTGGACAAAGTGATAGACAGGTGACCACCTCACTCACATTCCTGCAATTAGCACTGTAGTATGGGGAACAGAGGTACGGCGCCACACCCTTCTTGGACCTGTATGGTGCTGTGTCCCCGTTCCCTGTTCTACTTGTACTTATCTGTTTGAAAGAGGGGCGGTCGGGTAGCCTAGTGGTTAAAGCGTTCGCTCGTCACGCCGAAAACCCGGGTTCGATTCCCGACATGGGTACAATGTGTGAAGCCCATTTCTGGTGTCCCCCGCCGTGATATTGCTGGAATATTGCTAAAAGCGGCGTAAAACCATACTCACTCACTCACTCACTGTTTGAAAGAAATTCTCAGTAAAGCAAAAAAAATATTTTATGTGCATACCATGATATCCATCAGTGTTAAAAACTAACAGTTTTAGTCCACTAGTTCTTATAATGAATAATGATGACATTAATATAGCAAAACCCTTACTAATGGCACATTTCTACTTGTACTTATGATACCTTAACTATTGGGCAGTTTGGCAAGGGCTACAGGACCAGTGCCAGTTTCTAACGCTGTGCAGTTCACTGTGTATATACCTTACAAATGGGTTCATACCAGCTGAAGTGGCCTGTTTTTGTGGTGTATAATTCTTGGTTCCACTTCTCAAAGGTTAATTAGAGAATAAACAACGATCTATGAGGAATTATGGATTATTGTTGGTAATTTGGTGAGGACCTACAACATTGGTTCATGTGTGACAGATATTCCATAATTCGGAGTTTCAAGTAGGTTGTATGTTACTTATTGACATCTTTAGAGAAAAAAACCTTTTAGGGGTGCGTTGCAAAGCGCCAATCGCTTGTAAGCGATGTGCAGCGATTCGCCTTACAACAGTGCGCTAACTTTCAGTCGCTTATAAGCGAAACAATCGCTGACTGAGGTCGCTTCGTTCTCAAACCGAAATGGCGGCTTACTTTGACAGCGGAACAAGGAATTCTTGACTGGATCAACGAGAAAATGAGCAGCGTTGATCCAAAGGTAGCTAACACACCATCATCCTCAGTCTGCTCCACATCTTCAAATAGTCATTAATTTCATCAGCTCGTCATCGAGCCTCTTCTATTACGTTCTTCATTACGCTGATGGTCAGGCTCGCTGACTTGGTTGATGCATGTCATCGTATCCCAATTACGTGGATAAATGCTCATGATGTCAATCACTGGATTGTCTGGTCCATACTCGATTATTTACAAACCGCCGTCATATAGCTGGAAGATTGCTGAGTGCGGCGTTAAACAACAAACAAACAAACGTCAAGGCAACCAACCGGTAGTTGCGCCGCCACTTTGGAAGAGTGCGCAGCGCTTCGAACTGTTGCAGACCCCGGGTTGAGCGATGAATTTTTTGCTTCCTCTAAGCGATTCGTGGCTTGCAACGCGCCCTAGATGTCAACCCTACGGAGAAACTTCAATGAAGTCTGCCTATTGTTCAGATGATGTAACATAATCAAGTTGTGATGTCATGAACAATGGATGACATCATATTTTTCTCAAAAATAAAGTGCTGTGATGTCATATGGCTTCAGTTGACAAATCAGCTTTGAGAATTTCTCAAATGTACATGTACAATTACTTATCATAAAGTTATTACACACGATCATTCTACCCTTCTGGATATAGAGGATATTTGTACTTTCTAGAATCTTCTTAGTTTGTTGTTTAATGCTGCACTCAGCAAGATTCCAGCTGAGCTATCCGATGGCGGTCTGTTAATAATCGAGACAATCCAGTGATTGACATCATGAGCATCAATCCACCCAATTATGATACGATGATATGCATCAGCCAAGTCAGCAAGCCTGACCACCCAATCGCGTTAGTCGTCTCTTACGTCAAGCATGGGTTGCTGAAGACTTTTCTAACCTGGATCTTCACAGGTCTCTAGTATCTTCATGTTGATCTCATTGAGTGACCTGACAAAGTCTTCAGTGTTGTGCTGTGACTGTGGCCTTTCGGGATTCCCGCAACATTTCTGTGCATGACGCAATTAAAATACAACAACGCATCCGGCTGGGCGCACTATAAGCTTTTCACCTTCACTTACCTCAATGTAATTTGGACCCAAAAGGTCGTGTATTATAAGTAAACATTGCAGTCAAGCATCAGAATGTTTTTTAAACCACGTGTCCGCCATGTTTAAGATTACCGGTACTATAGTGATATTTTTTACTAATCATAGGCAAGCTTACAATTAACGATAGCAGGACTGCACTGAATATTATTTTCCGACCAGTCAGATTTATTGCTTCTAAATAGATACTGTCATAGCCGGCAGTGACAAGCATGGCGTCTGCTAAACAGATTAATCAAATATACATTAAAACATTTCTTTTGAATTAAAAGTTTTATTGCTGTTTATACCATATTTTATTGAATTAAGACCATAAAATTAAATTTATTGAATTAAGACCAGATTAAAGGACAGTACATAGCTTTTAAAAATCATCATCAATTTTGCTTTATTAGGGATGAGGCCTTCCAAAAGAACCCTTGGTTGATGGAGGCTAGGAACTACACTGCAAAATTGATATTTTTAAGAAATGACTTTTCAGATGTTCACATTGGCCTAAATGAGCATTCAAGAACATTTTAATGTAGTGTTACCTTATCATCATATTTACATGGGGGCACGGGTGGCCCAGTTGTCTCAGGTGCCGCGAGTCGCTGTGCAGAGTTGTGTCCCTTGGGCACGCCAAAAACCTATGATTGTGGGTTCGAATCCCGGTTCGCCCCAATTATGTTTCTAGGTTTGTTAGCACCATACCCGTACTCATGGGTTTCACCGAAGTGGTAAACATCAGAGACCTGCATCACTTCGGGCTTTCCTCCCTCATGAAGCAGACATGACGTGATATGACTGGAATGCTGTTAAAAGCGGCATTAAAACCAAACTCACTCCCTCATATTTACATGACATTGTGGTCAGGCAGGTATGTTGTAAACATTTTTAGAACCATGTTTTCTTTGTCTTTCCAGTTACTTCAACATCATGGAGAAAGGGAAGTTTCACCCCAAGATTGAGACTACAGTATAGCAGAGGAGGGGTGAAAGAAGCTGCCTTAGTATTCCCATTACTGCTCAATATGTGCCATGACAGGCTTAGTCTCTGGAGGGGGCACGGGTGGCCCAGTCGTCTAAGGCGCCGTGATTCGCTGTGCAGAGTTGCGTCCCTTGGGCACGCCAGAAACCTATGATTGTGGGTTCGAATCCCGGTTCGCCCTGATTATGTTTTTAGGTTTGTCAGCACCATACCCGTGCTCGTGGGTTTCACCGAAGTGGTAAACGTCTGAGACCTGCATCACTTTGGGCTTTCCTCCCACATAAAGCTGACACGCCGCGATATAACTGGAATACTGTTAAAAAAGTGGCGTTAAACCCAACTCACACACTCACTCACTCACTCACTTAGTCTCTGGAAGTCCAAACTGAGATGTACATGCCTCATTATTGATGTGAACTAGAAGGGCCTTCGTCATTATGTAGGTAACGGTGGACCTTGGAGACTGAACCACATATCCAGTGAAAAGCACTACCATTATTCATAGAATCTTGTCACAAAATGTGAACACTTTTCAAGAGTTAGACTTAGGTACACTTGAATTGAAGATGGATGATTGCTGTTCTCTGTATAATATTTTGGAAACAAATTGACAATGACAGAATGATGAATGGGTATTGTCAGTTTCTTTCCTCCAAATATTCAGTTGCTGATATGGATTCTTGCAGCTGTTGAACAGTAGGGGAGATAACTCTTTGATAACTGTGTCTTCCTCTTGTCCATGTCACTGTTAGAAGACCTGGTTCTCTCAAGTTTTATGCCTGTTTTACATTGCTGGATGCTGTACCATGGTTGTTAGAATTGGATGTATGTGTTCATGCAAAACAAGGACAGATTATACTGTGATGTACATACTATTTTAATGATATGACAAAATTCCACATCATCAGTACAACACATATGCATTCAGTTCTGCTATTTGAAACTTGCAGTGATTGAAAATGTGAAAAACTTTACTTCCAAAATGCACACATTTCTCAATCTGATTCAGTTACCATGCACTCATGAAATGAGAACCTGTACACTTTACCCAATTGAACACCCAGTGATGTCAGTAATGGAAGAGTCTGATTATGTTTTCGGGTTTGACCGCACTAAACCCATGCTCGTGGGCTGTAAATGTATAAGACCTGCATCACTTTGGGCTTTCCTTTCGCACAAAGCTGACACGCCGTGATAGAACTGGAATACCAAAGCAACATCAAACCACGTCTAAGGCGCCGCAATTCGCTGTGCAGAGTTGCGTCCCTTGGGCACGCCAGAAACCTATGATTGTGGGTTCGAATCCCGGTTCGCCCCAATTATGTTTCTAGGTTTGTCAGCACCATATCCGTGCTCGTGGGTTTCACCTAAGTGGTTTATGTCATAGACCTGCATCACTTCGGGCTTTCCTCCAACATTAAGCTGACACGCCATGATATAACTGGAATACTGTTAAAAGCGGCGTTAAACCCAACTCACTCACTCACTCACTCGATTAATCAGAGGCACTGTGTATACAGCTCAGTACTAGTCAAACTAAATCCAATGAATGACTCACAAGATTTTTTATGCCAAGTGTTCGGCGTAATTTCTGTTTTAGCTTGATAAAGCGTGGTGTGGGGAAATGTGTTATGAATGTAGCCAGGATTTGACTGAACATGCACATATTACATATAGCTACATAGACACATAAAGGGTTGTAGTTTAACGCTGCTTATGATAATCAAAGGTTACAGACATTCACATGTCAGCTTCACTTTTTTTCCTGTCCCCATTAGGGGCAGGAGTGATATGTCTGATTCTTTGTTATATCTTTGCATAATATCTTGATACTCTCATGTTGTGTATATGCTGTTTTGTTGACTGTGTTTGATGTTTAAAGTTTTCAAACCACTGTTCGATTGTGAAGAGTGTCTTTACTCCACTTTAAGCACTGTCCGAATTTTTAAGGGTGTCCTGGGGTATCTTGAGGTCTTCTCCTAGGGTATTTTGATCTAGGGACTCCTAAATCTGAAACTTTTAACACAGTGTTCCCGTTTACCGTAATTACCAGTTTTTTACTGGTAAAATTAGGCTTGGACCGGTAATTCATGTGACTGCCAGTCCCTGTGGACCTGCAAATAAAGTATCTTTTAAATCTGTTGTTGAACAAAACATCGGTGATATTCATATTTCTAGTGCAAGAAAATAAAATTTAGCTTTGCTTCAAGGTTAAATATATATTTGTAGCACTTAGTGTCGAAATATTCAAAAACAAGAGAAAATTGTTGCTGAAGTTTGTGTGAATGACTTTAGATCTAAGTTACTTTAGCATGTGTTCAGAGATGATGTCAGTGCACTGAACATGATGTTGGAAGAGTTAAAACGAGGTAATTTTCACAAGTTTTTTTATTTGTTGAAAGTTGAGATTGACAACAATTAGGGGGGACTGGTAATTTTTGGAGTTGCCAGTTCACCAGTTGCCAGTTTCAACAGCCAGAGGGAACACTGTAACATTAGGTTAATGACAAGGACCCCATCGTTTGTGCTTGATATTGAACTGGGGAGGTGTAGGGGAGGTACTCAGTGATGTAGAAAAGTAAATCTGTGCCAGACAGGTTTCTCCTCCTTACACTTGTTCTTTTTTCATGATCCTAAATTCCTTACACACTTCTACAGAGTTTTTTTTTCATATTTTGTTGAGGATTTTCCTGATGCACACCGACCAGCAAGCACCTTCCAATCATCTTAGGGTTCTACTTTAAGTCTGTCATCTAAGGCATCACAATTTGCTGTGCAGAGTTGTGTCCCTTAGCTGTGACAGAATCTTATGATTGTGATTTGGAATCTGTTTTATCAAAGTTGTAAGCGTCGAAGACCTGCATCACTTAGGGCTGTTCTCCCAAATCAAGCATGGTTGAAATACTGTTCAAAGTGGAGTGAAAACCAAACTCACTCACTCACTGACTTTGTGAATTTTAATCACTAGGTTGGTGAAGCTAGGTAACTTAGTTGGTGGTGTGTCAATCAACCCTGACAGCGTGGATCGTTGCTCATAATATTCACTGGATTGTCTGGTCCAGAATTGATTGCCATCGTATATTGGGAATATTGCTGAAATAACACTTCTCAGAGATGTGGACATGTACAATAATACAAATGATTTGTATGTCTACAGGTGCGTTAGTCCACATGTGAAGCCATTTGTGTATTATCTCACATTAATAGTTATATTTTGTTTGCCAAAGTTCTTTTAAATGTTAAGGTTACTATTTCAGTTCACGTGGGTCCACATGGGTCCAGTTTGTGAAGTCCATTCTTGATGCGGTGTGGCTGGAGTATTGCACAAGCAGAATAAACTCACTCACCCTCTGAATTTGCTAAGTGTTAAGGTTTGTCTATGCATGTTATTTGTGAACTTTCCCATGGAGAATCACAGAACATATATTTGCCATGTTTGGAGAGAGAATTCTTGACATGTAATAATCTTCTTTTGTATACCGAGGTATTCATAAATCTCTTATTCTTTCCACGGCACAATGGGGATATGTCTACTGGTTGTGCAGCTTGTTAAGACTGAACAGACAATCTGGGATTCAAGATGTATATTTGCAGCTTTACAAATGCTGACCCTGTTTCGCTCTAGGAACGCTGTACATATTCCATGGTTTCGATAACAGTATAATATATGTAGCAGATAATAACATTATTATATGCAAAATGATTTATGAAGAAATAGTAAAGTACACAAATTATGAACTGGGAAAAAAAGAATGTTCAAAGAGGGTTGATTTCGTCCTGGTAAGCTTATGACTGTCCTCTCTGATGAAAATGCCCAAGCTGGCTCTATTCATGATTTCTATGGGATATTAGTCAGAGATAGACACCAGTCGTCATTTCCATCTAGTCCACAGCATATTTCGGATATGTTATGTGAAAGAACTAAAGGGCTCGATTGTTGCTAGTCTTGCCCTCGTCTTTCAGCTGTGTCTACCCCCTGTGCTTCAGTCAGAATCATGTTTTGTGATAAAACTATTGTGATCACAGAATATGGTTTCGAGCCTAAAATATTTCATTTGGGGATGGTGTGTATAGTTTTACTGGGTCCATGTTGAGTATCATCAGGTCATTTCACAAACCACACCTGTAATTTGATACCCAGGAGTAAATGTACTGAAAGATGGCAGAATGTAAGAGACTGGTCAAGAACATAGTCACTATGGTTACTATGTGGTGACCATAGTGAAAATTTAGTTCTTGTTATTTTTTGCACTTAGGACCCAACCTCATGGGGATTCTGGGTTAGAAGTAGGTTAGAACAGTGAGTAAGCGAGTGAGTTGGGTTTAACGCTGTTTTAACAGTATTCCAGTTATATCATGGCGTGTCAGCTTAATGTGGGACGAAAGCCAGAAGTGATGCTGGTCTCAGACGTTTACCACTTCGGTGAAACCCACGAGCACGGGTACGGTGCTGACAAACCTAGAAACATAATCAAGGCGTACTGGGATTCAAACCCACAATCATAGGTTTCTGGCGTGGCCAAGGGACGCAACTCTGCACCGCGAATCGCGATGCCTAAGATGATTGGGCCACCAGTGCTCCCAGGTTAGAACAGCTTACTTGTTCTTGGATCCCTGTGGGTTTGAATCTCAGCATCACGCTGATTATGATCCTCCAACTGTGTTTTAACTGAAAGACTGATCAGTGGTGCTCAAGTCACTCCTTTGTGTAGTACTTGCTGTCACATTGTACATACATATCACATTGTATGACCCTTCTTCAGAATGCAAGAACAATCTACTGTGTGGCATTATTTTTACCTCACTCTGAAAACACTGGGCTTATGAACTATAACTTGCATTCAGGAGCTAGACAGTTAGAACCTGAGCTGAACATTTTAATTACTGAAAAATCATGTGTGATCTAAAGCCTCAGATTTTGATTGATTTGTTTGTTTTCTGAAAAATCATGTGCGACTTAAAACCTAATTTACTTTGATATATTCAAAATGCTGGGAAAAGGTTTTGCAAAGATCTTATTGTGGCAACACCATTGTGAAATTTTAACACATTGCATTTCTGTGATATTAGAATAGATTAGCTGCAACCAGTGTCAGTTATACATGATTATTATGCCAGTAATTAGTAGTATGTATTCAGATGCTTAACCTGTATAAACTGTCAATATTTGTACATTCCATGAT